CAAGACAAGTACTGACATGTCGCTGCGAATTCAAACACTCGATAGCGTGCGCGCTCACACCAATAACAGAACACGATCGCCCCCCTCTCCGCCGCACTTGGTCTAGTACAGTAAACACGGACAACCCTGAGGTATTATTGACACCTCGAGTAAAATGGACTCTACTCAGAATTTATTCATTTTTCATTTTTAATATTGTTCAATATTTTCAAACATCAATAGATAAATTCAGTCGATTGATAGACTTTTATATAAAATTCTCCAAACATAAAGAACGTAAATAATAAAGGAAATAATTAATAATAATGTATATGCTTGGGCGGGCTTCAACGACGTCCTTTGGTACTAAATGTAGAACATCGCTAAACAATTGAAAGCCATTATTTTCGAAACCATCAATTTAATATTCATTTTAAAAGAAAAGATGTCCATATTAACCCAGGCTAGCCTAGTGTTTTCAAAACGGGCGAAATGTGTGGAACGTGCATGTTTATGGATCGTGGGATATATCAAATAATATTTTATTCTCCAAAAACAAAAAGTCGGAAATAACGTACACCTAGCGTGAGTTAGTGGAGACTTTCCGACGGCAGTGAAACAAATGAATTTATTCGTAATCCGTCGATTATCCGATCTTCATTGTAAACAATTGAAAAACTTTGCAATAATTACATTAAAAAAATTAACAACAGTGTGCATTAATCATGAATATAATTAATTCTTTTGAAATAATTTAATTATTCGATCTTCCAAGAACTTCAAACTTCATTTTAATCAAGTAAAAATGGCGGGATGAAAAGGTGTCGACAGCGAATCATACGAGCCAGCACTGCAAACATATCCGTGAATATAAATGTTTATTAATTATTAAGTGTACTCATACAATAATAATAATTACAATAATAATACGTTATAAATACATTCTCCCTCGCTCATTAATATTTGGCGTAAATCACTTCGTTTTAAAACTACAGAAAAAAAAACTACAACAAATCCCACGCGTACCAAATTCTACTCCAATCCTCGACTAATCTAATTTACACAATTAAAAAAGTACACTATTTTTTCTATTTTCACTAGATCATCTCAAATTAATTATTGAATATTCACCGTGATTTATTTATTCACTTAAAGTTACATTTGCTCTAGTACGTACATTTGTTCTGTTTCCACTAGTTCATTTCAAATTAATCAGGATTCATCTACAACTTACGGACTGCATCGAATATATTTACAAAAGTTATAAGCTTAGGTATGCGTTATAAAAACATTAATGCAAAAAAACACGTGTTCCATGATATTTCGGACAGACGACAGAGGACGAAAAACGCTTGACGATTCCCAGTAGTCTCTTATCTCGACAAAAATAAATATACGAAATATATCTAAGACCTTTTACGGGCAACAGACGCAGCCTCCTTCCCTTGATTATGTCCCAATCGATATTTCAGCTCGCTAAATCGTTACTTATTAATACAAAAATATCTATTTTATTAGTGGACATGAAATGCATGAGCAACATCTAATTACACTCGTTATCACTTCCTGTACCCGAATTATTTCGTCCTCTGCTCTTGAAACACATTTATTATCATTAGTTGTAGACCGATTTGCACATAACCTCGTGTTATAAATTGACACAAGAAAATTCCAACAAAAACAACAGAGAATGACATTAGAGATGAAGTTCTTGGCCGATATCTCAGAATCTAAGAGAGCGACCAATTTTCGTTGGATCTTTTTTGTAGATTCGCAATAGTCCTTCGAAAAGGGTCAAACGAAATAGTCACTTACTCCCTTAGGCTTCTAGATATCTCCAAAAAATCAATGAAATTAATTACGAAGTTTTCCATTTCCGGACTGAATTGATCAGAAGCGATGAGTAAATATAAATGAAATCGATTCAACTGATAGATTTCATATAATTCCTCCTGAATCTTTGAAAACGAGATGAAAAAAATAAAATCAATAATTTAATACAATTGTTCTACATTTCTAAGCCGTTTAATGGCAGTCAATGTTATGAATTTTCGATATACGATAGTACCAGCCTGAAATTCAAATGTCCAAGTGCCTCACTTGGTCTTCCCAGTCGGCAAATTGCCCCCAGGATTTCTCACATGAATTGACTGTCGATTATTTCTGCTCCTGCTGGCAACAGTCGACCCATCAACAGACTTGCGATTTCGATTTTTATTAAAATTCGACTCTCCTTCCTCTCGGCTCGTAGAACATTTCCAACTTGTCGGTCTGGGTTTGACTGGGCTCTTAAGAGAATCCCCTTCATAACTCTTCCTAGAGAGTTGTGGAGTGTAGTACAAGCTATACCTGTTATTTTTAACAGGCTTCAGCTTCTCTTCCCTCAATTCATCAGTGGAGCTACACATTCTTCCATTAGGAATAGTACGATTGATCCTCCCATCGAACTCCTGGAGCCTCCTGGAGTACTGTGGAACACAGCTAAACCTTTTTCCAACTTTCTCACTACTTCCACTCTTCTTCTCCCTCATCTTAACATTTTCAATCACTCCAGTCTTCCTCTCACTCCCCCTTGGTGAATTTAGTCCATTGATATGCACTGGAATTTGCGATAGTTTGGTCGATTTATTGGCGTTTGCTTTGGGAGTCCTTGTGATTTTCGACTCCTCAGACTGAGGGATCCTGAGCATTCTGTCAAACCGTACATTTTCAAAACTCTCCGAGGACTCTAGACTCTGATTGGAGCTGGAGTGTCCCTCCTTATTAACATTGGCAAACTGTATATTGACAAAACTGTCAGAGGTCTCGATGTTATTGTCAGAACCACTCAAACAATCTGTTGACTGTGACAGATGATCTATCGGCGATTGTCTCAAAGTAACAATATTTTTAGTTACATTTTTATCGTATAAATCTCGTCTCTGACCCCTAGATCTAATATTGCACTTCCCTGATTTAAGGGTATCATTGCCGCGATAATTACAACGTACAGGTGTCGTTGATATACTGGAATGAATATCAGAGAGTGAATTACCATTTCTATTGTTATCGGAATGTAAATCTGACGAACTATCACTCTGGCACTGGCCATTGTTGTTCTTCGTCATTGAATTAGTTTCTGGAATACTGTTTGATGATATCGATGGATTATTGCACGTGTTCGAGAGATTTATGTTGTCCATGAGATTGTGAAGGGACGAGGTGAGGGCTCGGATATCCTGGAGACAATCAGCACTCAGTGATATGGGCTCGTTGTTGACATGCCCATTGAAGTTGTCGGTCTCGTCGGCACCTTTCTCGGGAGGCGAAGGAGAGGTAAACGTGGCATCGAACCACCTGCTCTTAGGGGTTGTATTGATTTCAGATGTCGGGTCGTTGGAATTTTCAGAGGACCGCTGCCTCTTGTAGTCGAATTCAAAAGTGGCCACTCTCATCGGCTTACACTGCTTATTCCAGTGTTGCTCCGGCGTGTTGGCGGCTGATTCGCCTCGTCCTGGGGCTTGTTCGCCTCCTAGAAAGCTCTGCAGATGTACAGAGGAGGGAGAGAAAACAAAAAGAAAAGAAAAGCTTGGCTACAGATACGAACAGTCCAATACAAAAAGCTTTGCTGGTGGTTTTTGGAGAGAGGGGAAATTATTGGAATGGAGCTGGGGAGATAATATTGTAGTGGAGTGGCAAAACCCAGGAGAAAAAATTAATTCCTTCAGGAATAATGAATTATTTCACAAGATACCGTTTTTACACAATAACATAAAATAAATAATAATTACAATGATAATCACTAGGGGATAATAAATAAACTAGTAAATATTGAAAAAGTCGTCAAGATTGAAATGCAAGCGGAAAATTTGGGAAATAAAAATTCAGTATTATTCTGTATTTTTACCACTTCAATACTGAACTTATACCCGATAAAATAATTGTGGCAGTGCTGTACAACTGAAGCCCATGATTTATCAGAGATAAAATCTAATGTGCTGTGCAACTAGACAGTGCATATTGATCGATAAAATACCAAAAGCCATGCACGTCTAATATAGTGCATCATTTTTCCCAATAGAGTGACATTGGCTATGTGGAACGAGGAAAGAAAGCCATTTACATCATAAATTTATGCGTAAAAATACGTTGTAAAAATTGAGGAAGAAACGTAAGAAATTTACATTAACCCTGAGAGTTGATAGCAATATTGACTTCGTCATTGAAAAATCTTAATTTGTTTTCCATAAAGAAAACGGAAATTACTGTATGATTAAAAGGCTATCAACTTAGCCCACACTTCGATTCCTGTTTCCACAGAACTACAGGAAATATTCAAATGCATGATCAATAAATCTAGTGAATGGTAATTTACCACGAGCCACGGATGATCGAGGACGTCCTCAGCACTGAATCTCAACTCGGGCTCTGCCTGCAGCATGTTCGAAATGAGTTGCTTGGCGGAATCAGATATGGGGTCCCAGTAAGGCGGTGTAAACTCATACTGTCCACACAATATCCTCTCAAACAGCTCCTCTTGGTCGTTATCTAGAGGAACGAACGGTGGAAATCCACTTAATAAAACGTAGAGAATCACTCCAGCAGCCCATACGTCAATCTGAAATTACAAGATTACTTTTGTTGTAGGCAGGAATTGATTTGAATATTCGAGTGGGACATAAACATATAAGGAATCGTTTTCTTCGAAGCTTTTAAAGTGTAAAAAAGTGTTCTATTTTTTAAATAGATCTGGAATAAACGGAATAATTTCGCCCTCTCCCCTTCTCACCTTGAGTCCGTAGCCGGTCCCCGTGAGAATTTCAGGAGCAACATAAGTAGGCGTTCCACAGACAGTATACATTGGCTCTCTGACCACCTGTGCAAGTCCAAAATCCGCAAGCTTAAGACACCTGACATGACTCCCTTCCATTTCCACCAGTAGATTCTCAGGCTTGACATCTCTGTGCACAATGTGATGGGAATGCAGATAAGCCAACGCTGATGCCAAGTGTCCAATCATGACACTCGCCTCGGGCTCCGAGAACTTGGTAACCGCAGCAATGGCATCGAAAAGATCCCCTCCCTTGACGAGCTCCACCACAAGAAACAGCTGATCCGAAGTCTCCTGCTCTCCAATCAAGCTGATAATATTAGGATGACAGACTTGTCGAAGAATAGACACTTCACTAGCTAGCATTGTCTCTTTTCCCTGGCACTTGCGCTTGTCAACAATCTTGATAGCATACTCAGCCCCAGACTGTTTGTGAACACAATGTCTGACAACAGCGAAATTCCCATCCCCGATGACGTGTCCCACAGAATAATGCATTCGAAGGGGCTGTGGTAGCATTAGTGATGAAGGACTGGGCGTTCTCACCTGAGGAGCATTGAGTGTCCTCTTACCAGTCTTTCTGGGCATCACTGGCATGGGCCCACTCTGTCTTTTCGATATAGAGGGCCCCCTTCTGAAGCTTTGAACACACTTGGATTCCTCAGGATCAAGTTCAAAGTCCTCCTGAGTGGACTTCTCAGCGCCATAGGCTATGAACACTTCCTCACTCTCGAAGAACTGGTCCAAGGTGATAACAAGCTTTCCTGAGAGAGTGTAAACCCTTCTGACAGCTCCACAATCCAGCTTGACCACTTGCGTCACTGCCTCGAGAACGTGCTCCAGACTAGCAGCATTTCGTTTGTTGAGCAATAAACGGAGTACTTTTCTGGGTTTAGTTCCGTGACGAATTAGAGTGATTATTCTCGCTTTGACACAGCTTGGAATGGTGTTTATCTGCCTGCCAATGCCAGCTGGTGACTGGGGAAGGCCTGAGAGGGAGCTTCCACGACGAACTCTCGAGGCGGAGTAATCGACTTTCTTGAAGAGCTCACCCTGTCCGGAGACCACGTAGCACTTGCCATCTTCCAAGTCGGTTATGCTTTGAACTTTTCGACCGTCCATAGAGTAAATGCACCTGACTCCACTTGGCAGCGTCACATTTGACACCAGGACACGTGTCAACTCTGTGGCCAGACTGTCAAAGCTACGGTAACGTTCTGGGGTCACTGCCATTACCACTCCAGTGTAGAATTTATCACCATTGCGAAAAAAACGTACTCGCTTCGCTTTTTTCGTGGGAGGAGTTCGCAGGCTTGAGAGCGAACTCTTTGAGGCAAGGTCCAGGTAGCGATCATCGAGGGATGTCACTGTTAAGGAGTTTAGTTCTCGTGTTGAGAGGTTGCTGTCATCTGACGTCGAACCATGCCGACTCAGCGGCTCCTCCATGGTTTTCTGGAGAAGAGACCACCTGATAAAAGGTTTTTCCAGATTCACAAGAACCGCGAGAAACTTGACTGAGGGAAAATATTCTTATCTCCTATTTGTTTTTATTTTTATCATTTATATTTCATTATTTATCTATATTTATTTATGATCATTCATTCATTATTTATAATACATAGGGAGATAGATAGGGAGACAAATAGGGAGACGGGCTTTTTTCCCCAGTGCTTTTAAAAATTCAGTCCTTGCGGAGAAAATCGATTGCAACTGGTGGGTTCAAAGTAGAAGTTCAATTTTGCTGAGACGATTGAGAGAAATCGAGGAAAAATAGGAGAAAAATGTTTAGACAAAAATTGGAATTAATATGGTTAACATGCATGGTTCCAATGAAAAATTCAAATAATTCTGTAAATCGTCAGATGAAAATGACTCTCCGTGAAGCTTTTCCATTCGAATAGAATTCAATCTCCCAATGTTTTCCGAAAGCCACTGCTCAGGCATGAACTTTCAGGCATGAATGAAATAAGATTCTGCGCAATATTGAGAAGATCGGTGGGAAGTAGAGGAGTTTTCGAGAGGCCCTTTCTATAGCTCTCGCTTCAGTCCATAAAAATGGTCATGGGCCGTTCAATCTCCCATTGCTACTTCAAGAAGTTCATTCAAAAGTTCATCAGCATAAATTTCTTTTAATGTTTTCCTCTTCAGCCGATTGTTTCTCAGGAAAATGGATAATTATGAGAATTTTCAAATCAAATGATCTCCCTTGAGCACTTGACGAGCAAATTACATATGTCTCTTGAAGAAGAGTCATTAGCATTTTCTTCATAAAAGATAAATATCTTATAAACAAAAGGATTCCACAATCTGCTAAATCCACTGCATTCTACCGATAAGAGAATCTTCAATAAAATCTCAAAAACGATTATTGATATCTGTACATTTATCTCGGAATGAATTTAATAATATAGAACTCGTTACACAAAAAGTTGAATAAAAAAAAGGCTCTTGCCATTTCCTCTGACTCCATTCACCACAGAAAATTAACTGTTTCACAACAAGAAAAAAATCGACCTATAATGACGGCAAATTGTTGTTTACCATAAATCAAGTCGTACCAGGAGTAAACGTCAAGCCTTCCCCATCGCTATTAAAATTCCCCCAAAACTAGGTCTTCGATTTTTTTCTGAAACCGACTCGTTATGGAGATAATCTCATATGAAACGAAGTGTGAAAAGTCAACAGTCTTCCTCAATGAAAATCCCATTCGGTTCAGGTACTTCAGCGAAAACAAGCTCCATGGATTAACAAAAAAAAGCCAATTAGGAAGGAGCGTTTGCCTCAATTGTCAAAGCACTAGCACTGTTGTCACATTGTCTGTTATGTTTCACCGCATTCTGTTATCGTCACGAGTTTCACAGAACTCTGACTAATTCGCATGTAATTTACACAGATTAGAAGCGAAAAAACGACGACCCCCAGACTTACCCCGAGACTCGGTGAATTACTGAGCAACAGAATTTATTCACTTCCCTGGATAGCTGGTGTCTTGGATGATTGATGAGTGCCACATTTAGATTCTAAGTAATATGAGGACAGTACGAGAATTTAAAAGAGTCCAGTTTTTTTTACGAGAGCACCAGAGTTTGTGGTGTGGAAAGAAACGCTCACGCCGAAGCGACAGTTTCCTCCAGTTTGTTGGAGGTTAGAGGATAGAAATGTCAATGTTGGAGATACCGTACACTGCTGCCACGTTAGCGGCAAATATTCCAGGTTTTTAAATCCAAAACTTTTTCCATTTCAGTCCAACGAAACAAACAAGCGTCTCCCATACAAAAAAAATATTAAAAAATTATTAATATTAACATAATATCCAAATAACATTTTATATGCGCGCACATATATTATACAATTCATTTTTTTTGCATTATGAAATACATAATTCCTGAGGTTTTCGAGTAATATCTCTGAACGTGAGGTAGATAGCGATTTTTTCTAAGAACTTCTATTCTAGAATAGAATGAAAGCTAGCAGAAATGTTGTCAGGAAGATTACGCTAACTCTTTTGGATTCAGAGATATTCCCGTAAAACTCACGTTGGTGAATTCTGTATCTTATCGCCATTTTACATCGACATAAAACGAGTAAAATTGCGCCCCTGAATAAATTTATTTTATAATCTATGAGTTTTTTTTCCTCCGGTGGGTACTCCACCCGGATTTCGCTGAGGAGAGTGGATTACTCGAGTAATTACGAATGAATCACTCACCTATTGCTCCATGTAGAGAGAGGAAAATCAGGGTTTGTAATGAATAAAATCCTATCTGGAAGTTTTAACGGAGGTTCGAGGCTTATGCGGGTTTGAAATGAATGCGCATATTCCGAGTAAATTTCTACCTCGACTGGGAACCAAGAAACTCTCTCGAACGACGCCTCCAGAGCGCCTGGTACATCGGTCTCATTTATGCGGGAATGCGCGTGCGGAACTCTGTCGAGAAGTTTCCAATTTTTTTGGTTTCAGAATAACTGAGACTAGAGTTCTAGATGGTAAAAGTGATACGGGTAAAGTGGGTGGGGAAAGTGAAAATCGTATTTGATTTTCTTTGAATTTTCTCAGTTCTTTCTCCAAGTGCATTTAACTTGAATTATTTTTAATTAACCGTCTATGGCGTGCTCCGCAGGCCTTAACAGATTTTCAATGATTAATTTTTTAAATATTTATCCTCTTATCTAATTAACGTTTGATTGTATTTGATTGAACTCGTTCATCGTAATGGTTGATAGTTCAAATTTTAAGGTGAAAACATTTTTTTTCTCCATATTTGAAATTTTTATTATTATCCACAGAACAGGTATAACTAAAATAAACGGTTAGTTAATGGAACAATTCGATTTTTAATAAAAGTAATTGTTCTATGTCAAAAATCCTAGATAAGTCTTTCAGGGCTACGAGATAAGAATGTTTTATGAAAAGTAATTGAACAAACAAGATTATATAATTGCTAAACCGATTTGTTATAAAAGAAAATATTGGACTAGATCTGTGGAAAATTTCACTTTTATTATTGCCGGTACAGAATAATGATAGATTAAAGCTGTTCTCACAAACAAATCATATTTGATATTCTATAAAAAAATGAAAAACTTCCGCGATGGTTCTGGTGGGTTTTCCGTCTTCTATGGGTGTGTTTTAAATATTATATGCATTCCTGCATATTAAATTACGAGTACAAAAACACAAATTTGCATTTGGAAAACCCTTCAAAGAACATAATAATGGAATAGAAAATGAATATTAGGTCTACTGACCTGAAAAAACGAGTAGAATGGCTAGTTTCCATTTTCGTAATGGATTCATTTTCCATATGTGTGAATATCCAAATTATATTTGGGTTCTACTAAATTAATTCCTTCCTCATCTAATCAATAGACGTGTAAAACAAAATAATGAGAGCATTATAACTATTTAATGATGATAATGAATACTTAGAATTGTACTGGGGCCCCTAGACTCTGACGAAGCTTCGTTTTCTCATTGAAGATATAAGTATTGGAATGATCACTAGAAAAAGCATTAGGAAGAGGTTCTTTTTCATTCTTAAAATGCCTCAGCAGCTCTGTGAATGCGTGGTTGTCCAGGTTTTTAGCTAAATAGTAGAGAAATAGCCAGTCACCGAAATGATAACCACGAGCCATACGGAGGGTATTCCAGGGTGTGACCTTTCCAGGACAAGCCATTGAAAATACGAAGCAATTGAAACGACCACTCCTAGAATTAGTACGAACATAAAAATATAAAGTTGCATTAGTTGGTATTGTAAGAAAGTCGTCCTTCGTCATTCGTCCTTCGTCCCAGAAGTTAAGCTCACCTAGAATACAACAACAGTGCCGCAATCCTCCAGAATATGGCAATTCCAGAGAGCACAGCAAGAATTATGTACCAAAACCACAGGAACACGTAAATCTTCTCGTTAACGATGTTCAAAGCCATAACACAGAGTGCATCGAGCTGCTCTACGCTTCCAGAGGGCCCATATCTGTGGAAAGTGCACTTGGTAACCTTGGGAAAGACAATGTCCAGTGGTGACATCCTGGAGGTCCATTCGTCCGTCTCCATGACCCTCGTACCCAGACTTAGAAAGGCACCACCGAGGAACCAATTCGTTATGTATATCTGCAGGATGACGTTAATGAAGTTCAATATTTCGCAGGCACCGAGATAATACGCCCAGGTTTGGTTGACACGAAGATGCGCCACGAAGTAATCATGAATTGACTTGATTTTTTCTTTACATTCGGATTTTGCGAGGCTGGATTTTTTTTTCTCGTCTTCCTTCTTATCTTTGTCTTTGTCTCCTTTCTTATCTTTTTCTTCTTTCTTATCTTTGTCTTTATCTTTGTTGTCTGCCAGGGAAAGACTTGCCATGTGGAGTCCAGAGACTAGTGCCTTCAACCGCCCACCTGTCGAATAATTCGGATTGATTAAATATTAATTTACATTTCAGTAGCAAATATCTCTTCCTCCTTCCTGAATGACATTGCTTCATTTATTTTCAAGACTTTTCTCACCTTCAGCACCTCTCCATAAGTAATGGGGTACATAGAAAACGAGTGCTTGAAAAAACAGAACAAATGGAACCCATTGATAGTACGCATGATGGACAGTCTCTTCCTCTCCAGTATAAGGACCAATTCCAGGGTGTGGAATATGATTGGCGTTTACTGTTTTCGCATCCATGTATTTCGTCTGCAATTATTCGGAAATTAAATGCAAACGTTTGAATTTTTTTTCTCTTAAAAATATTCCCCAGGTTCTTCTCAATCATTTATTCTTCGCGAGTCAAACTTAATTGAAAAATTATCAATCAATCACTCAAATTAACACTCACGATGGTATAGGTCGAAGAAAAGAAGCAGAAGGTGTCGATCACAGCACTCAGCCTGTCATCCTTAGATTTTTCAGCCAGACATCTGCAAGAAATTTTCCACACGAATGTTTTGTCGGGAACAGGCAGGGCGCAGATAAAATATGAAAGAAAACTGATTAATCAACTCACTTTATGTGTTCTCCGAAGAATTGTTTCGAGGAGACCAGCAGAGATCCCACTACAAGTAGAACGAATGTCGCCCGATAATGAAGTCTGAAAACTACTCTCAGGAAAAAATTCAATCAAATAAATATGGACGACATAATAGAAATAAAATATGGCAATGTGAAAAAAAATTTGACATAAATTTGATGAATCACTAAAAACTGATATTTCCACCTCAAAAGGATAATTGCAGAGATAAATCGATAATTACAATTGATTCAACTGGAACAACCGATAAGAGCTGGTGAATTTCGTGGGCCACGTGCAAAAAATCGACAGACTGACACCATAGTCTTGAATAAACGTAATATCAACGGACATTAGCCCCTCCAGTGCTTATTAATAGATACGAGACATAATTGAAACTATGGAAACAATAAAAGTTATTTACCAATATTGTCGATGACTGCAGTGTCCTGCACTGCTTTCAACTTCACGTAATTCTTGAGGACAGAAAACGTTGTGAAGACTGTTGTCATCTTATCTTTTCTCTTCTGATACAATTACTGTTCCGAATAAAAAATTGTTCAGCACCTACTGCCCGGTGAATACAACTTATGCCAAGGGAAAATAAAAATTAATATAAAATTCCTAATAGGCAGCTGAGATCCTGATGTTCGTATTAACAATGTCGACATACGATTGAAGGGCAAATCTGTAAAGACTGAAGAGGACTTTTCTGCCGAGAATTTTGGGCCCTCCCCACTCCCCAATTGATCACCGGAGACGATCGAAACTATAAATTGTTGTGAATATCCTGTACTTAATCGCCTTGAGGTAGAACGAGGCGTTGGAATTAAGAAAAAACATCCAAGTCTTATTTGTTTATACAAACAAACTCATCCTACTGCAGAAACATATTACTACTGGGTAATTATTGGCATCTCTTAGGATCTCGAAATGAGTTATATATCAATATTAGAAAATTAGCCTCAAATTTAATGAACAATAGCAACCCATCAAAAAATATGGATGCATTAAATATTGTAACAATAATGATTAGTAATATTCCCCGTTCAATTGTTGACTTTGGAGGATTCGTTCAATTATTTTACGACAGTCAATCAATTATTCCAATACTCATAGACGATTTATCAAATATTTACACCTCAGGCATATATTGATTGAGTGATTTCAGTATGAACTAATTACAAACAGGGAGAAAGAAATTCTAAACAACAAGAGGAAAAAAAGAACAATGGAATGAGCCTTCAGCATTTGAAAATAGTTTAAGTTTTCAATTCCCTTTTACTATTTATGCATTTATTTGTATTATTTGTCGTTTTTTTTGTATTGAAAGTGTTGAGAGTCCGGTGGACATTCCATTTCGTGATTTTTTCTAGAATCCCGTATTCCATTGGCACCTCAAATTACTGGAATGCAAAACAGATGGCATAGTTCAAAGCCCATTTCACAACAAATTATGATTCCGATAATTCATAGAGAATATGTTTTTACAACAATTCAATAGTTTGGAATTGTTGCCGGGGGGATTTAGTGGAAATGATTTTTTCAGCTGGACCAAGCCATCGTGATTATTTTACCGATTGAATGAACAGTTGCATAAGCTGCATGAAAAGCCCGACCGCCATTTGCTTTAAAGTTGTTGAGCTTGAAGGACGCTCTAAAATTTTTCCCCAAAAATTTCTCAATTTTCATCGTGTTAAAGATGGAACCGGAATGGCTCTTGTGTAACAATTGTTTCATTCACATGAGGGACTCAAAGAGTCCATTTTCAATTGTCTCCTGTGGCCATCTCTTCTGCAGAAAATGCTCTTCTGAAGGTAAAATACAAAGACGCATTCAAGGGATTAGAATTTGGAAAATATTTAACAATGACAAATATTTACAATTAATTATCGAACTGCATCAGTCCCAAAGGAATAAAATTAAAAATCTACTTGACTTCTTGGTTTCTGCAGTTGGAGATAAATGCTCAGTGTGCAATACAAATGGCATTCAATCCGTTTGTCTCACCAAGCCTTTCGCTCCAATGGTTGCCCCTATGTTCAACGATATCCTCGCAATGGCTGAGAAATTGGTCTTTGCTGCCAAATTCCAGAAGTTTCAATTGGAGATTCTAATGTTTCGTGAGGACCAATTGGTAATTTATGCTTTTATTCAATCATGTGGAAAAATTTCACCCTAAAATCAAAAGATTTTTAGATCGATTGACATTTAACAAGTATAAAGCTGGACTTGACTCACTTATGATTTATGATTCAGAGCAAGAAGTATTGTTCACTCAAGTCTACCTACTGGAAAATTAACAGTGAGTTGAATCAAGTGAAGCAAGAGTACAACTCAGTAAAGATAGCATACAATGAGTTGATGGTTCAGAATAAACGAAGCTCTGTCCTCATCAAGGAGACGCCTAAGTATGCTCGAGTTAGATTTGCTGAGAAAAATACAATTTTCGGCCACAATCAGCCAGACCCTCGCAACAGGTGAGTCTTTTATCCGATTATCAACTTTTTCTCGATTTTTTAATTCTGATGATCGATCATGTAGAATATTATCATGCATTCAAAATTAATGTATTTGAGGTAATTCTGTATATATATGTGTGATAACTACGCTTTATGTTCTGCGCTTGTTACTGTTCGCAATTTAATCTATTTTCTCAAATTGATTTGGGCTACGGTAGGTTCTGTCCAGTATCTGGTAACATCTCTGAGGATTCAGATGCTTCTGGATTCGGAGACAGACGATCGAGAACTCCGAGGATGGTTGATGGAATTTTCCGAGTGCCAGGAGTCCCCGCAATTCCTAGATCAGCAGGTAGTTCCACTACAAGCTCCAGGATTTCCACTCCAAGCTGCGTGAATTACGGTGCACAAAGCAGCGGATATGAATCTAACACCAGTACCCACTTCCGACGTTAAGAGATTCTCGTACTATGACTAGAAAACTAAAGTCTCCCCGAAAGACACAAAGTCTTACTCAAAAAAATATTGACTTTTTTTTCATTTTGAGTATTTCAAACATAATTAATTTTTTCATCAATAATCAATATGAATAGTATAAATTCCTTTTATTATTTTCAATATTATTGGTATTAATAATAATGATATTATTATTTTTTTATGCGATAATATTGAAGAATTAATTCAATTTGAAAATTATTCTAAACAAAGTCATAAATTCGAAATAGTTGAGCTAGAAGGAATTCATGACTGTTACCCAAGACGATTTTCTTTTTTGCTTTCCACTTAATTCCTCATTCTTTAAAGTTAACTAAAATTAAATTTTATCTTTCTTTTCTCTCTCATCTTTAAATGAAGTAGTGGCTCACAAGACCAAATTCGTGGCTCTCCCAGGAGTTGAAATCTAAAGATTTGTTTTATCCTTATAACATAATTCAATTATACTATGATTAATCATATGGCAATTATTATTACGACTCCAATGGAGTATTATACTATTACAAAGGATAATTGAGTTAGCCAAAAGAATATCCACGATTATTGTAATTAGAGCTTTAATAAAACTCTTCTTTATTATAATTTGCAACATGATTAAAACTCGAGAATCCTCTTTGCGCGTGCCGGTGATACCGGCCAGCGTCCGCGGCACCTGCGGATTTGTGTCCATTCTTTGTGGGTAAATTTATAACCTACAGAAATCTCTAATCCATAATTCATGAGCCTCTAACACTCGCCAGCCCCTGAAAATACTTTAGAACTTTCAAATAAGCCAATATCCTCGCAAAGTAAGTTCTTCCAATGATGTACCCAAAGAGGATTGACTAAAGTAGAGGCTCAGTTCTGGGGGCTTGAGTGACCCCAGGGGCATTGTAGTACCTCACCCCAAGGGAGAGAGGGCACCACACGCAATTCTGAGGTGTATGCCCCTCAGCCGACTCGGTACATACAATTAACCCTTAACGGGTACATTTAAACCCTTAACCAAATCCAATTAACCCTTAACGAGTACATTTAAACCTTAACCAAATCCAATTAACCCTTAACGGGTACATCCAATTAACCTTTAACAGATAATGGGTTAGTTGGATTTAAGGGTTAATTGGATGTACCCGTTAAGGGTTAATTGGATTCGGTTAAGGTTTAAATGTACCCGTTAAGGGTTAATTGGATTTGGTTAAGGTTTAAATGTATCCGTTAAGGGTTAATTGGATTTGGTTAAGGTTTAAATGTACTCGTTAAGGGTTAATTGGATTTGGTTTAGGTTTAAATGTACCCGTTAAGGGTTAATTGTATGTACCGAGTCGGCTGACGGGCAGACACCTCAGAATTGCGTGTGACGCCCTCTCTCCCTTGGGGTGAGGTACTACAATGCCCTTGGGGTCACTCAAACCCCCAGAACTGAGCCTCTACTTTAGTCAATCCTCTTTGGATGTACCGATGCACATGCTATCAACCATCACCCACGAATCACAAAAATACCAAATTTATACAAATTCGGAATAATTACCGTAGTAAATTTAAATTCTAAATAAACGGAATCATCGAAATCAAATATTTGTTGCTATTTCATTTCGAGAATAAGATACGAAATAGCAGGGGGGTAGTAAAATGTGATAATTCGAATTTTTCAGTGAAATATCGATTGATCGCGAATTTTTATAAACATTATAAAAGTTACTATATCGCTATCGGGAGAAAATGTCGAGACCTGCCAAGAAAGTGGAGGACTTCTATCACCACTACACTCGTTCCAATGACTGGGCTGTGCACTTTACGAACATTAAGGAACTCCCTCCAGAGCAGGTGAAGCAATTTTTCTCCAAATGGGGAGCAATAAAAAACGTGAGGCAGACTGGATCGACAGGTACTGGCTACTGCTTCGTTCACTTCGAGTTGGAGGAGAGTGCACGAAATTGTGCATTGGCCCTGAAGAATGAATTGAGCGTACGTCTGCGTCCATTCATGGACCGTCCACTTCATGTTCCTCGCCGCAAAGAGAAGGAAGAAGGACTAAACGGTGAGGAGCTGGATTTTTCGTTTAAGAAGAGAGAACCCAAGTATGAGTCGAGGATCTTGAAACCCGATCCTGCCATCGATGCCTCAAATCACAGGAGAATTAATGAAATCAATGAAGAATCATCAGAAGCAGTCCATCGACGTACTCCAGAGTTTAGTACGACGAAAATATCTGAAGCCCCTCAAGAACGTCCCCTTCAAGTCTGGGAACTTACGAAAACGGCAGACTCTTCGAGTAGAATCGTTGAGAATTCAAAATCAGACGTTGTGAATTCCTTAGGAGGGCCTGAGGATAAAGTCCTGAAGTACTCTGGGGCTGCATCGATTGTGAGGGAAGAATTCCTTGAAAGAAAAATTCCTGAACTGCAAGAAGTGTCAGAAGTCTCGTCTTCAATAGTTCTTTCTGAACTTAATGATCACGTGAAAATCGCCACAGCTGAAGAGGTAATTGTGGCTAACATTCCTGCCTTCTGTGGGATCGATATCATTCTGGAGCTCTTCCGGGACTTCGAGCCCCTCTGCGTGACGAATATCAAACTCATCCCCAAAAACTTGATTCGATACTGCCATATTTACTTCCAAACACCTCTCGATGCGAAAACTGTGGAGAATATCTATGATAATGCTGAGATTTTTGGAGAGAAACTGATTGTCCTCAGAGTGGAAGCATTGGTGGAGGAGGCCTTAGGGGGTTGAAGATTTTTTGCTTTGTTCTGAGTGCGTACTTAAGATTCTTTTAGTTTCGATAATCCAAGTTTGAGATTAAGCCAACGCCCAGATGGTTTGTCATTTTGAGTATCTATATTTCATTGTATAATTTTTAAATTTTGTTTTACGGGATTATTGAAACAATTTTTTATAGACCTCGTGAAAGGTCTCACGTTAATCACTTTTACCTTCAATTTCTTTTATTACGAATTACTCATTGTTCAGTTCCTTACCTTTTTTAATGCAAGAATTCAGAATTTTTACTAAAAATTATTAATTAAGAGAGTGATTGGCGTTACCAGTTATTTTTGCATCAATAGCTGACAAAAAATATCCATTTATAAAATATTAACTATTGAATATCTGGGATATTCATAATGAAAATCAGATCTATTCTTTTATATTTGAGATAGAAAAAAGCTTGAATACAAATATTTCATTTATTTTCACAATAAAAAAATACACAATTCTACATGTACAATTAACCAACTATCATATGACTAATTGTTATAAGAGAAAAACAGAGACAGGAGACCAAACAATAAAACTTGTCGATAGAATTGTACATGAGTATTGAATGAAACAGTAACCCGAAAATCATATTTCCGACCTAGTGATCATCATCGCGAAGACCAAAATAACCATGTGTGGAACATCAGAATAAATCGAAGGAAAATAAACTCACAAGTTAGTACGTCATAAATAGGTTTGCGGTAATGTACGAGGACAACCGAAGACCACTGTCTCGATTTTAATATTCTCTATGTCTAGACGTGCGATGATTTCATCCACCTTGAGTTCTTAGATCACTTATAGACGAATTCCAGGGTTTCGCGATGCAACAAAGTTGAGGAGCTCTTCGCTGTCCTCGCAGACAAAAGGCTTCAGGTGGTGACAAGCAACGTCGTGCCATTTGATGCCATCGTTGTAGAAGTTGTTAAGGATTGCCAGACAGGACTCGTCATTACCCTGGCAGAAATTAATTTCCCATCAATTACGTTTCCCTCATATAAAAAAAAATTCACAGACAAAAAAGCTAGACAATTCAGTAACAAAGAGCAAAGATTAACTTGTTCCTTCGTCTTCCAGAAATATCTCCGAACCTAAGGGGAAGAAATAAATTTTTCTCTAGGATTCATTTTTAGAGTGAAATGGCAGCTACAAAAAAGCTCTTTACAAACATTTCGATATCTCTCGTACATTCAGAGATATTTATCCTATACTTCAAGTGTATATCTAAGTAAATATCCATTGCCACTTGATCTTAATCAATGACTCTTCAAATATTTTACTTTGACGTGTGAGCATCACAAGACTGAGTAATCAATTGTCTACTGCACTCATTTATAGTCAGAGTAATTGCCACACGTAAGTCCATTGAAAACTATTACTAAATCATTTAAACAAGCCCCCAGAAGCTATTACTTGAGTCATGAATTATTACAACTTCTGTTACATAATTTTAAGGATTTTGCAACGGTTAGGTCGTAAATCTCTAACGACTAGGCTAGAGAATTATGGCGATCGACGGATGTTAAAAGGGCACAGTCCGTTATGGGTGGTTAATTTCAAAGAGGTGATTCGCTGATTGAGTTAGTATCTCAATTGAACAATTATACACTTGTCTGTATCGACAGGCTAAAAACTGAAGAAGGGGTAAGTAAGCCAAAAATTTTTCCAACTTAAAAATGGAATTATTCCACCGATATAGAAATCGGCGAAAAAAAATTAGAGCAGTGCAGATTACCCCTAAATTGGAGTAAATAGAGGATATATATTGAAATGAGAGCTGCAAAAAATGTCTTTACAAAACTTGGCTATTAGATGAACGGATTTCTTACCAATTACCTCTCCGCTCCTGAATTTGCTCTTATAATAGTTATTTTTTGTTATTTTTTGTTATTTTTTGTTATTACCTGTGCAGCTTCACGGTTATCAGGCTGTGCCTGTCCATATCCCCCAGTGTTGCTCCAATCCCCAGAGTTTCTTTGAGTAGTCGGACCAATTTTCGCTCCAGATCCTGACCAGAACCATCCATTGATATTCTGAGGCAGGAGATCAGGTCTGTCACAGCCATTGAAATTGCACTTGCGTCCAGAACTCCAGATGTACCTGACGTTCCCTGAACCCACCAATCATCCTCAATTATTTTCAATCTCTCAATTATATTTCACAACAGACACTTCAACAATCTCAACCATCTCCCCAGATAATTGCAGGCTCCTACAATGTAACCATATCACATTACAAGAACTAATCTCCACAGGATCGAGGAGTTAAAAAGAAAATCACGCGCAATTATCTCCGGACGTTTTCTTCGTCAGTCGAGTGAAAATACCTCTCCGCAATTTCCGAGGACACGAAAGGGGACATTGCTCTGTCCTTTCCTTTTAATATCGCATTGTCACAAAAAAAAATTCGTGCCGAGGGAAAATCATAACTCCAGAGAAATTCCCCGTCATTTCTTCTTCATTCATTATTCTATTAATTGTCATCTCTCGAGTGGGAGGCTTTAGACAATTACCCGAGCCAGTGTTCCAGAGAGAGAAATCAGGGATGTTTTCACTCGTTCTCTTTTATTTTTCGATCCTCAATAACACGCATGAAAAAAAAATAAAGAAAAACCTACCACTTTCTCTGAAAAATTCGCTAAATTACTTTTCCAAGTTCTGCAAAAACTTTATTCAAGTTTTATCAGACCTCTATTTAAAATCTCAAATCGCTGCATAATTAACTGTATAAAAAAATCAAAGTCTGTAGGCATTTTTCCCCGAATAATTATCCATTTGAATATTTCTTTGATAGAATCGGCACAACAACAAATATAATTTTTATAAAATTTCAATTGAAATTCAGAAAAATTTCAGAGTTGGCGCAGAAAATTGTTGAAAATTTTTGTACATGTCGACATAAAGTGTCTTTCAGGTATTCGCTTTCGATGCGAGCGATTTATCAACGGAAAGACTTTTTCTATTTCTCGATCTCGCAAACGTTGAATTACAGATGAGCATGAAAGTGAGAGCCAGTGAATCACGAATGCACTACAATATTGTATTGTTGCAGTTACCTCGAGCAATTCTCTGCTTTATGAATTCATTCTCCTGGGGTGTCTCCATTGATACTGCATCCATGCAATGACGACGACAGATATTACGTGCATCCAACCAGTCAACCTCGAGGTTCCTAGTGGGCTGATGCTCCCAACTGAAGAAGTAAGAGTGTGCAACACCTCTGGCGTCTCTGTACGAGGCATGACGAACACCTAGAGTTTAATAAAAAAAAAATCAACGAGCCATAAATCCTCGTTATTTCTTAACGATTCTTTTCGTCGACGTGATTAATGAAATTTAACGTGTCAAGTGTACGGGGGAGTCGAGAAACTTTCACGTTGTTAATTGATGGGAGAATCATAGCGAATGTACGATTTGCGGGAAATGCATTTAATATCGAGGATGTAATCTCCGTGGATGCTTGACCTTTGAAGGCTTTGATAAATGCTATTCAGAGGTAATTAAACCGCCGTTGGTGGGCAATTAAACGGGTAAGTTACACCGAGAAAAGCAAATGTTTGTTTCAAGGAAAAAAATCATATATTCCTAGGAAATCTCCGTCTGAGAGTTTAACGACCGGAAATCATTGAAGCTAGCGACTTTTTCACTTATTTCAAGGATTTTTAACTTACAGTAAAAGAGAAAAATTGCAAGTGCTGGTGACATCTGCGCTCGAATCAAGGATTTTCTTGGTATTCAATCAAGAATAATCGACTTGAAGGATTTAGATGAATAGATCGTTTTTCTCGGTTCGACATGAGAATAAACAGTTAATTGATCGTGTGATCGGTTATTTTGGATGAATTTCAGTTAATTGAACTTACGATTTGCACAACTCCTGGGGTCCGGTAGAGCCAATCTTCTCTGTGCCGTCACAGCGACAACTCCAAAGAATAAAAGACACAAGATCGACTTCATATTGCGGCTCTTGAACGACCTGAAATGCAGTAAATCGATTTCATGAAGACGGAGGGAACAAATGGATAAAAAGTGGAACATTGATTCCGCATTCAATGATCGTCTTGGTGAATTCGAAAGTCGCGGTCGATTGGGCGACCTTGTCGATCCAAGCGCGACTGAATCGACACCGATAATCCATCGAAAAAGTCAATCCTCCCCTGGGAAAATCGCTAAGGATCATTTTTTTTGCGTGCCGTACGGGTCATTAGGCCCGATGACAACTCTCACTTTCTCCGGAACGTTCCAGGACATTCTAGAATTTTTGCGACTCATCTCGGTGCATGAAATTATGATCGAGTTGGCGCTGATTAGAATTTGATGGGAATACAGTGATAATTTCTAGTGAAAGCGATGGTAATGCGCGATGGGGAGTGCAATGAAATGTTTTTCTGCGAAATTCTTTTTTTTACACGATGATTTTTGTATCACAACTTCCGGCATTGAGAGGTGTAATCAAAAAATATATATTATAGAGCAATTCAACCTTGCAATATATATTTTTTATATAAATTATTTTGGTCTCATATAATCATTGTATTAATGTCCCTAGAAAACATCAAATTAACATTAATTAACATTAATTAACTTTGCCTCTGCCTTCGGCAATGCGACAAAAAAATTTTGAGAAAAAGCCGTTCAGGGGAATATAAATCTATCGATGGAATTTTTCGTTGTTATTATCGAATAATCGCTTAAAATTGTAATTGCACTTGTCGAGTGAGCTCAGAACATATCCAAATAAAACGGAAATGAAATACTCGTTGCGCAACTGAGACTCACTTAATCTTCCTGTATTGCACTGAGAAATAAATCCGCCGGAGGCAGTTAAACCTACGCCCACGGTATTGTTGTGAGCTATCATCAGAAATCAGGGGATTCTAACGGGTAATGGAAGCCAGCTTGCTTCTCTTGGATCCAGAGTAAGACAATGCCGTTTCTGAACCCGACGCCTCGACCATATGGCCCAGTTCACGTGCTTCAATCGACCTGTCCTCCTTATCACTCAGACAATTTTTTTTCACCCCGCAAAAGATCCTAAGGGGAATTCGCAATGGAGATCGCTTCTGGAGAATTCAAGTGGAGCACTGGGCTAGTAATACGTTATATAAAATTGATTATCAGACTGAGACAAATTACTAGTGTTATAATGCCACTGCCCACTAGGTCCATCAAAGTACCTCCAATTAAATCGTCAACGTCTAGTACTCGTAGATCAAGTCCATTTTTTCTCCTTCTAGCCAATGGCTCTAGGGCTGTAAATGCATTATTCATCATGGGCTATTATTAAATAATATGTGGAAAAATTTAATGAAAAAAAAAACAGCTTTCTCCAAGAAATTCTGTTAAATTTCCTTTGAAACTTTGTAAAAATTCAAGTGAAATTTAATAGTGAAATTCTTAGTCTCTCCGATCCATGCGAGGTATTCACTCTTGCTATTTATCTGAACATTCATGTCTTCTCAATAATTTGAATGAGAAAAAGAACTAATGACTTGGCTCCACTGAATATTTCAGTATAGAAAATCCATGGGATTGTTTTTAATGTTGTCATCGACGAATTGTCTTTCCTGAAGAGACTTGTCAACTTGAACCAGGATCTCCATAATTACGTCATAAGCTCCTATCTCCCCTCAAACAAATGGCATTTATATCTCACAAGCGACTCGATTGGAACAAAGAAAACAAAAAGTCTAGACACATTAACATTTTCGTCTCTCTATGAAAAAACAGCATCTCCGCATGTGCAATCTCCACTTCTAGCCCGTAAGAAAGGCACCTCGTGACTATTGAGCAATGGGAATTAAAAAGCTATTTTGTACCAAATACGGGATTTGAATCATCTGGAAATGAGACTCGACGGCTTCTTCGACTCCTTCAGAATTAACCTCCGGCGTTCGGACCATTAACAAGTAAACATTTGAGTAATAACATATCACCAGATTACAAAATCCACTGTAACGATGAGAATGTCCCCCAGCCGGGGATATTGAGAAATTAATTGGATTATTAATTACCCTGATGCAACAGGACGCAGAATTTTGTTACATTTCGGTGGTTAAACTGGTTCTCTCATTCGAATCCCGAGAAATAAGATAAAAATCTTATGAATATTTATCACAGGTATCGCAAGATGTACAGAGAGAAATACAGAAAGGATTAAATATTAAGATATTAAGGATTGAGAGAGCAAACTTTCGTTCACTCTCTCCGTCATTAATGTGAACCGCAACTTTTCTCTTCGTCTCGACTCTAATTAATAAATGCCGAATTAAACTGCCGCTCAAGCGTTTCATCAGCTCGAGATATAATATTCATAATTCGTTGGCAGTCTTCCCTTCAATTTAACTCCAAATTACCCAGGTACCATTGAATGCTATAAAAACAATTTTGCGATGCGAAATAATCCCCGATGCATCCAATAATGAACTTCTAAATTGTCACGATAAATCACGTTGGCAGAGGAGAAAGGGACGATTGCCGAGTGATTGACGCAACCGAGCCGATCACGAGGAATCGCTGGTTTTTTTTTTTTTTATTCTCCTTTTTTTTTCTTTCCATGGAGAGCTCAATGGGTGCGTATGTACCACTCGTTGCACGGTGCATTGTAGCCACCCGGTTTTATGGGAGAAAGTTTGCACTCAATGTTGCATCACACCGAATTATGATATCGTCGCAACGTAAAAATTGCCAGGTACCCGGTTGGTGCTGGGAGCAATGAAAATTACGGATAGAATCGGTTCGGGTGATACATAAATTCCACAAGATTTCCAATGGAATTCTATCCCAAATGTTTTCATGAAAAATATTTATTATAATTATGATTTTTTTTGGAAATTGTTTCTTAAAAGTAAGTGGAAAAGACAGCTGTTGTGCACTTCACAAAATGATTGCCAAAATTTCAAAGACTTCCACTGCATATTTGACATATGGTCATTAAAAATGAAAAAAGAGCTGAAGTTGAACTCCAAAAAATTTTGCTGATCGTTTTTCAGTGTATATGTAATAATGTAATTAGTATGGAAGTACCTCGAGGCAAAAAAGAGGGTCGTTTGAAAAATCTAGGACTTTCACGTGTAGTTTTCGATAGACGTGCTTTACTTTTTGATGTTTTTTTGTTGACCCCCATATGGAGTGGAAGATGGGGGCCTTATAGACGTGCGGGGGGCCCAGTGACCCGATCACCGACAAGCGGGGCCTCTCCAACCAAGGCGATGAGGAATGCACGACCGAGACATCCAACCGTTTGAGGAATCTAACACGCCGGACGTCTAACTATGATGAGTAAAATTGGTGAGCAAAGAAATTCAACGAGATAATAAAACCAGACGAACATTTTGAAAAAGCAAATATTGCAATAGGTTAACTCGTTATGGAGATATTGAGGCAATTAGGTTTAGAAACAAAGTTCAATTTCTCCAAGGCTAATGATCTCTGAAGTTATTAAAAAAATCGTCTATTGCAACTGGGATACACCATTGCAAAACATCCGGATAAATTTTGTAAAATATTTCTTCCTGTGGATGATGGTATTGTACATCCTTCGAATGCTTCCATTTGGAAGCAAAAAATATTCAACGAGTATCGATAATAGACTCTAGAAGAGTTTTCATCATTTTCTCCAATAGAATTTTTATTCAGTGAAAAATGTCGACTGAATTTTCTGCATTTTCTGGAGATCTCAAAGAATTTTGAAATAGAAAAACGTAACAATATAATAATTTTTAATAATTTTATTATCCTACGATACATTCGTAGGATTCAGAAATCAGGGAAATCGGAGTGAAGACATTTTTTATATAAGCCTGAGAAGATTTTCGCAGATTTTCTCGATGTGAATGTCGAAGATCCTGCGAGGAATTTCAATAAACGTTTTAACGGTCATGACTAAATGTTAAAGATTCAGAATTGTAATTGAACGATAGAATTCTCGCCGTTCCCTAACCCATAGATTTTCCTATTCCTGATTCAACGGTAAATTTGATTCCAATCCATCGACTCCCGTCACAAATGACATAGAAAAACCGATAGCCCTTTGCTAAGCAATGAGTTTGCATCGAACTGTGTACGAAATTTTAATTCAGTAAAAAAACTAAACTGACAATAAAATGACGATAACTGATAAAATTAATATTCAGTGCCGTATTTTTTTCATTTCTCCGAATTTATTTCATTTTCCATAAATTTTTGCATTGCAATCGAATTAAAATAAAAAATTGCCACGTAATATCCCAATATATAGCGAATTGCCTTTTCAAAAATTCCAAAAAACTGAGTGCCAATGTCTCTTGCTATAAATGTTTCGAGTTTTCAACTTAAACATTTTTTTTATTCCCCACTTTATGCCTTTGACGAGCGCAAAAATCGCAGTAATTTCTGTAATTGAAGGCACCACTAAAGTTTCCCAATAAAAATGAAGAACTGTACACCGTGATCTCAAACGAAATGAGAAAAGTGCAGAGATGCCGGGGGCTGAGCATTCCCAAAATTGATATCCCGTTACAGCGAAGTAAGACCGAGAAATAAAAAGTCCAATTCTTAACTCCGTTTGAGTAATAAAAAAATTCAAGAGTCATTGGAGCTGGAGGAGAGATATATTCGTCACCTGGAGACAACTGAAGCGGATACAAATGCGTGAATTGTGCCAGATTTCTTACGGCGTGGAGAACCTGGCGTGCGTACGCCCTATTGACAATACCATTTGAGAAAATGAACGTACGACGAAACGAGTCTCGTTGCTTGTGTGTTTTAACGCGGCCCGCAATGTGCCACGGGCTAACCGTTACCTGGCCGGCTTTGCCACTGTTTTGTAAAGACCTCCAAGTACCACACAACATCACAATTCAGTGCTTTTTCCTCCAACTCAATCTCGAATCCGCTCCATGCTCAAATAAACAAATTTCCCTCAAACGACAATATCAATTGACAAGACCAAACTTAAAAGGAGGTACATAATACAATTTTAACATTTTTTTTTTACTTCTGTTGAATATTGAATATTTTATCATCTACAAAACTATTGACTCTCAGAAGAAATTGTGCATGGAAAACAAAACGTTTTGGGAAAATTCCGGAATAATTCCATGAACTCTTTCTTAACGACTTTTCGCCCCGGAATTACGGATAAGATACATAATTTTTATTCAATATTTCTCTCTGCGCATATTTCTGAATATAGATTTTTTTCTATATGGGATATTAAAATAAATTTGGTCGAATATTTAAATAGCTGTAAAAAAGTTCTCTAACGCTTCCACCTTAGATCGATTGTTTATGCAAAATATTGATAGTTAAGAAAAGTCGTAATTCGGTTCGATATCTTTGATATCTTCGAAATTTTCGCACAATTTCTGTAGAGCAAACTGATCGGCATTCTTTCATCGAAAAATGAAATAAATGTATGAATATATGATGAACTCATGAGTATGTGCTCATACCAATATAAATTAGTGCGAAAGAGTAAAGGGTGATATGTTCAATTGATCCCTATTTGAGTTTTCGGGAAAAATCTCTAGATCCAATAGAAATAGACATTTTTTTCTCAAGATCTACTTGCAGAGTGGCATGAGAGCTATAAAACGAATTTTTCGAGAAATGATTTTCTAGAAAATCAGTCACTCATCAATTTCAGAAATTTTCCAATTTTTAAATCCAGATTTTACATGTTATCCAAAGAGATTTCATTATCTTCATGTTTTGGCTATTGAAACTACGAAAAAGATTGAAAGTAGAGTTGAAAAAAATTACCGCTGCTATTTGAGCTATAAAAATAAGGAAATAGACGGAAATGATTTGACAACGTGAAATATCTACAAAACAAGTTAAATACGACATTATCCGGGAATGTTTTCTCTCCCGCATGTGGAGAGCCATTCAAAGATAATATTTGAATAATTACTCGAGGGAACAATGCACCTGTAACGTCTTATGCAATAAGATACTCCAAGACAACTCCGAAGTCGATGACCGTTTCGCAAATGTATCTAAACTTAAATTCAACTCCGGTAAATCATTAACTTACCAAAACTGTCAAATTCTATGTATTTCACTTTGCAACTTAACTATTGTTTATTCATGCTCGGCAAATAAAGTGAAGAAATGAAATAAAGCTCTAAATAAAACCAAATAAAAATGAATAAATATATAATGGGTAAAGAATATGAATAGATGAATGGATAAATCGGATGAATAAATAAATAAATTGTGGCTCACCGAAGATGAGAGAAATAAAAAGTCCTGATGATGTCCAGACGAGGAGGCAATAGCAAAACGTTGAGTCCGGGACCCTACGATTCGGAATTACAAAGAAGGAATGAACTGTCGAGCGATGGTGATGAGCCAGTATATAGTCGGCCCACATTCCCTGGTGCTACGAGTAACCTAAATTGCTCCCACCAGGGCAACATCATCTTCATGGGGCAGTGTTGGGGGGCATTTGTTGCCTCTCAAGTCTGCCCCACCTGTTCATTTTTATTTATTTTTTTTTTCGTTGAATTTTTCTCCTGATCGCTCATTTGGTAGGTTTGGTCAGCCACGGACGCACCGGATGATTATTGACCACGAGCCTCTCACCTCGGACTGACATCACTCACTCGTGCTTCCGCCATTTCTTGACTTATTTTACAGTTTTTTATCCTCTTGAGGTAACGTTTTGCAATGGTACAGCGGGTCATGTGGACTCATTCTTCAGAGGGAGGCAGCCATGTACCCTTGAACTCGAATCTTTTGATACGGTTTTTTTTTGCTCGCGGGTATTCAGCACATTCAATTATTCCCATTTTTTAAGGTCAATAGATTTCATTTGTTGCTTCACACATGATAAATGATGGATTTTTATTTTTCATTACACATTTAAGTCGTTAATTTTTTGTATCAGTCTATCAAATGTCGTAACTCTTTCTTATTGTCATCAGTTAAAGGTCGTTCTTTCATGAATGAAAAGAATAATAACAAGATAATTATCGATACGTTTAAAACTCATTTTTGAACTGATAATTTTTTGAATATTCTGGCATTGAAAAGTGAGAGGAAATCGATAAATTCAGCGAGAAACGGGAATCCCCGAATAGCGAAATTATGATAATTGCTGAATCGTAATATATTATTTATATGAATTAGCATTTCCGGCTTTTGAAGTCGAACCAAAAGAATGTCCGGTTCAGTCATTACGCTCATTACGCGCTTCATTACTCCATGTTGTAAGGATTAAAAGTAGATGGTAGTTATTGTCATGAAATTCAGGCATTTGAATGTGGATTGATAGATGCGCCGCAAGGGGCGCCTGCGCACGGTGCGCGCAGTGCTCCCGTCAGCTGATGATGACACATAGCCTTTATGATTCAACAAACAAGAGCATAGCAACAATTGCGGTTCGCTAATAACATTCGTCAATCAATTGTGGGGAAATAGTGATTAAAAGAGAATGGTACGGGCAAAATTTATTCATTGTTTTCATGTTCTTGTATTAAATAAAAATTGTATTGTTTTTATTGTAAGCACGGTCGTGTCAAAGTCAGGACGACAGCTGAGCAGGAAGCGATAAAAAAGGTGGAAAGAGCCAAGAAAGTCGCACAGTATAAAGCGGCAATCGACTTGGTCATCAATAAGGTTTGTCGAATAATAAGAGATTTACTTTACGATTTGTTGTAATCGTTCTGTGTTTGTTTATGAGCAGAGAAAAGAGAAAGTCTACGACGATGAGCTCCTGCTGGTCACTGAAAAAATGGTACTGCAAAATCCAGACATCAATTCTGTTTGGAACATCAGGAGAGAAGCTTTTCAATATCGAGAGTGGTGAGTTAGTAGTTATAGCAGTGTCAAAAAAAAAAGATAAATTTTCAGAAAAGTTACATTTCGAGTTTCCTCGAAAAATCATAAATATTTTTGCTTTGATTTTCTCAGGAAACGTGGAAATTTCAACCTGAAAATTCAATATCAATAAAAAATCCAATCACTATGACAGAATTCACTTAATTTTATTGATGAATGAGATTTTTATTATTCATAGGAGCCACGAGGAATATCTAGACCGTCTAAGAAAAGAATTAACTCTAACTGAAAGCTGTTTACGTGGCAATCCAAAATCCTACAGTGTCTGGCACCAACGATGCTGGATAATCGATCACCTACCGGAGCCAGATTGGCAAACAGAGTTGTCCCTGTGTGCAAAATGTCTTAATTTAGACGAGCGGAACTGTAAGGAAAAATCATAATTTTTCTCACATTCCTATCATAATGCGACGATTTATTCCAATTATAATTATAAAAAATTATTTTTGATAAGGCGTGGATTTTTACAGTTCACTGCTGGGACTACCGACAACACTTAGTAAAAAAGGCTGGTATTTCTGATGCCGAAGAGTTTGAATTCTCCACAACGAAAATCTACAATAATTTTTCTAATTATTCTTCCTGGCATTATCGAAGTAAAATTCTTTCGAAAATGTTTCCTGATGAGTCCGGAGAGCTACCTATTGTAGCCGATAAGCATAAAGAGGGTAAATTTAAATGTAATTCAAGTGGATTAATTTGAACATTAATAATATATTAAATTTCATCTATTCACTAGTCCAACTTGCGTGAAACTCTCGATTGAGTGAGATAGAAATCTTATAGAAATTTTCTTTCAGTCTTTATTTCAGTTTGAAAAAAACAATCCTATTAGATAAATACATGTTCAACTTGACCTCGTCACAACTGAATTGAATTTATTTTGTTTTTAGAACTGGATCTAGTCATGAATGCTACCTTCACTGATCCCAACGACTCAAGTGCCTGGTTCTATCAACGGTGGCTTCTAGACTATTCAAACCCTCAGCCAAATGCCCTTTGGCGAGTGAAAATAACTCCAAACAGAGCCACAATAATCTTTCACGGAGAGACGTCCTTGGAGTCCTCCAATCTCTCTTTAACAACAGATAATGGTCAAGTGAACGGTACCTGGAGTTCTTACAACGACGAGAAATTCTCGAAAATATGGACAGCCACATTCTCCGAACTGTTGGATTCCTCGTGTTCGAAAATTTTTATTAAATACGAGAATGAAAATTACAATCTTTTCAAGTCTGATAACGCTTGGTTCTACAAGTCGTCCCATTCACCAATAGATAAACATAATAAGGCTCAGTTGAAGGAGCAAATGGAGAACTACAAACAATTAAAAGAAATGGAGCCTAACAACAAGTGGGCTATTCTCACTGGAATCTTTCTCATGAAGAGTTATGATCTCGTAGAGTACCATGAGAAGATCTTGGAGGACCTGAGTGCCTTAATTAAAATCGATCATCTCAGGGCTAATTATTATACAGATATGAGTGAGTATTTATTTTTGACATGAATTGAGTTTTTTTGTATTCAAAATTGAGGTTTTCGAAGCACGTTCTGCAGATTAATAGAAACATCGAGGTTTTGAATTATCAATCGGATTCTATAAATTGCCATTTGAAATAAAAAATCAAAGCTATAACTTTACAATTTTCTATAATAATAATGATAAATTGAATATTCAGGTTGTTTTAATGAAATTATTATTTTACTTTACTTTTTTCAGGGAGTAAATGCATAATGGATTACGAGCTACATAATTTATGGAAAAACGAGAACGATACAGAGATAAATTCGACAGTAGATTTGTCGAATCGTAATCTAACGATTTTTTACAACGAGCAATATTTTGGTCTCTTCGAGGAGGTGAATCTTGGGACCAATCGACTGGGTAATTCCCTTCATCGTCTGGCAGTTTTGCAAGAGTGTAAAAAATTGTCGTTATCGAGCAACAGCTTAAAAAATCTTAAAGGCTTTCCGACTCTCCAAAACCTGGAGATCTTATCTTTACGCGACAATCAATTGACGTGCTTGGAAGAAGTTTTGGATTTAATTAAGCGACATAAGTTCGTTAAGCTCGACCTGCGAGGTAATCCCCTTTGTGAGCAGTCGGATATAATTGATAAATTATCGAAGGATAATCCAGATATTGAATTTACTACCGATTGATGTTTTTATAAAGTTAATTGACAGTAAACACTCTGCATTATTTAATTCTTCCAACTATTATGGTAGATATTAATTTCCTGATGGACGTTGTCAGATTGATTCACTGCGAAGCGCATTATGTAATCAGGCAGTACAATTTTTTCTTTGAATATTAATGGTTTTGAAAGTATGGACCAATATTATATTATATTCATACACGGGGATTCCCCTTATTCTTTCGTTCTCAGCCGAATCGAATTCTCCTCAGAAGTATGTTTTATGTTTTGGAATTAGTATCTTGTATTTCACATACCAGCATAGATGATTATGATATCAAGGATGATAATGCAGATTATTGTATCCGATAATGATATTGTCGATTTCACCAAGATTTTTATCTGTTCGTCAACCGAACTGTGTAATGATATCATCGGAATGATTTGTTCCAAGGCCCCATGAGTGAATTCCCGAAGAAATCCCTAAGTCAGATTATTCGGCATTGCACCAATGACGCAGTATACCCTTAGCAATTTTTCCAGAGTTGTTGTACGGCATGTCCTCGAGAAATTTCACGCCCCCCCGCAGTCTCATTCGATCTGGCAAATGTTTCTCAACCCAGCTCTCGATTTCCTCCTCCGTCACCTAAAGAAATAATTTCACAAAAATAATTTACTGAAAAAATAAAATTAATACCTCAACCAGCATTCCAAACGAACAATTGCTATTGATGAATTATTAGTAATTGACAGTATAAAGTAATTTAATGCCTAACATTAGGAATGAAATAATAATAAAGTGCCTGATATTTTCTGACTTACCCGGACATGAGGCTTTTTAACAATGAAAGCCATTGGGTGTTCTATGTCCTCGTCATGCAGCTTAGCAACAACAGCTACCTCAAGAACTCCAGGATGCTTCAGAATGCAATCCTCTACAACCCCAGCAGGAATATCAGCAACAAGATATCTGATCATTTCTTTCATTCTATCAACGAAGAAAAACTCTCCATCCTCGTTGTAGTACGCCAAATCCCCAGTACGATACCAACCCTCTGAATCAAGTGTTCTCTCCGAAGCTGCTGTATTCTTGTGATAAACTATCGACAAACCCGGAGTTCGGGCGCACAATTCTCCTGATTGATTGGGACTCATGATTGTCTCATCCTTAGAATTTATGAGCTTCACTTCAGTATTCTCAGCTGGTATACCACAGGAGGGACACTTGTGGTCTCTCATCGCATACGTAACAACACCGACTTCTGTTAAACCTGAGGGACCATTTCCAGGAAAATGTTTAATTATTGTTAAGTTAATGATCACAGTAATGCACACTAAGAAATTGGCTCAATAAATTCGTTCAATCACGTAATCTTCTTACCGTACGATTGCGACAGCCACGTCCGAGGGAATATGGCATGCAGATTCTTTTCTATTTCCGGCCTGATGTAGGACCCACAGTATCTTATGAAATTTATTTCAGAAAAATCAAAATCCTCGGGGTGTGATAACCGTGATATCATGTTCACGTGCTCCGACCCCAACATCATCCAGTTGATCTAAAGGAGAGAATCATTCAGTAAATGGAAAAATATTATAGAAAAACCTACGGCCTTCTTTAAGATCTTATTTAATTGCTTTTGGAACTTTATAAATGTTGACTCTTTTGTATAATTTATTAGTGGAACTGTTTCTGTAATTCTATTCGATCATATTATGCCCATATTTTCTTACGAGAATTAAATAAAAATGCAATAGAAAAATATCTGGAAAATATATGATCAGGAAATTCTGCAGAAAAATAATAATCTACTGACTTTTCTATTAAATCTGTCAAATCTGTTATATAAGTGATGCGAAAAACCATAGAATTTCGATAGAGTTCAAATGAGAATACAACGGAAGTTTTTATAGATATTCTTGGGATTTTTAATTTTTTTTTGTAGATGTTGATACCTTATATTTCTGAACGACTCTGCACATATTAGCTGCATTAATGTATTTGTGAATGACATAAGTTGAGCGATTCATTATTGCCCCCAAAGCACATATGACGACAACTGTCCAAGCAGGCTCAGTACACCATATTCCAATCCTCTCATGAAGCTCTTCCTCTGGGAGCCAGTGGACATCTCGCTTCAGTAATTTGTACGAATACTGAAATACTTTTGGTTGGCCACTCGAGCCTGAAGTAAAGAATAGAAACGCGGTATTTCCTTCAGAGGGAATATCCTCGCACTCGAAAGTAGCAACTTCCGTAGCACTCTGTTCATTCAGGATCTCCTCAAAGGACACAAATCCCGGGAGATTCCCAAAAACGATGATCTCGAATTTTTCATCATCACTTCTATTATGTTTCAGCATCCTGGGGGCCAGGCCCACTTCCGCGAAAACAACTTTCGGCTCGAGAGTTTCCACGAAATCGGAGATCAATTCTATAGTAAATTCATTCTACTATTTATTCTACTGTATTAGAAACTTTTACATAGAATTTCTAGAGCTTTCAATAAATTTTTAGAGCGCTCGCCCATTTTTTTATTTTCTTTAAATTAAAAGAAGAATTAAAAGAAAATTAAAGGGCACATATTTGAATTGAGCATTTTTATACTATTAATAAAAATAGAATTCCACATGATTACCGTCATCTACCCAATCGTGTGGATATGTATTCACGGTGCATCCGATGTAAAGACCAGCGAGAATAGGAATTACAGTGTTCTCGTGGTTGTCTCCGGCGATGGAGATGACATCACCACGTCCTATGCCCTTTTTCTTTAGCCACAGGGCACACCGTATGCTCCTCTCCATCATCTCACCGAAGGTATCCAATTTTCCAGTTGAAGAATCAATCTAATTGAATGGATCAGTCCCAATCATAAGTGGAAAAAAATAAATGGTCAAATTTATCCCGATTTTTAATCATTGTAACATCTTGTATTTCCACATCAAATAAAGCTTTACTAAATAAAAAATGGATTTCTGCATACCTGACCAACGAAACTTGGGGTCGCCTTCAAGCTCTGGAGTAGTCTCTTTCCCACTTGAAAATCATCATCCCGATATATTTTATTCGGGCCCTTCCAGACTCCATCTTCAAAACTCAGTTGCGGATATTTCTGGAGAAAATAATGCACAGAAAATCATAGAATCATGCAAAAAGAATGGGTTCTTCCCAGAAGAAATTACCTTAGACGCCGACTTCATCATCCTCTGAATGACTCTCTCCGGACAAATTATCGAGTACGACTATTCATGAATACTCTGTCGCCAATTGAATTATCCATAATCAACCCCTTCATCTTATTATAATCCGATTAGATAGAATATTCAGTGTCACTGCACTTGAAAATTGAGATATCATGAATGATGAGGTTGCACATCACGAACAGGAATTATTGATCAATGTCAATATTCAGCAAAATGATCGATATCAAAACACGTCAAAATGGAATTTTACGCTTTCTCCTTATCTGTTTACTGTGAAATGGATTCTATTCAATATTTTTGATACATTCTTTCCTCAATGCTGCCATCAATTATGATAACTCAATCAAAATCTTACTCTGCAGATTTTTCAATGATTTCCTTTGATGTGAAACAAAAAACTGAGACACAAACGACACTGATCTGTAATCAACCTGTTTTTATTCATGTATTTCTTGTTCTGATGGTTGTACACGTCGGCTTATACTTTCTTTCCGGTGGATGCATTAATATGATTATTTGATTTTTATCGAGGTCAATTCACCCATGATATCTTAATTAATCTACCAACGACTTTATTGAAAAAAGTAGAGGCATGATCAAGATCCAATTTTTCGAATCGTGCAAGGAATTAATCTAGCCATGACAGTAGGAGTATAAATTATCAAATTTAGTGTGTAAGTAATATCTTTAGGCAATTAGTGTCTATTGTTTCAAACTCCAGTAGTTTAATATCAATCGAAAAGCTGAAGATAGTTAATTATCTTAATCTGTCAAAATGCCGTATGCAATCTCGACATGCGAGTCATTTTGTATATATTCTATATATCAAGAGACATTATCTTAATAAATAAACTATCTAATCATAGTTCTGATACTTATTAGACTGAGGAAAATCCATGAAAAAACTTAATATTATTTCATTTTGCCTTCTTAATATTTTACAATCTAATAAAAATAACAAAGTTTTTACGGATAACTTTTGATTGAGTTGAAAATATCAGATTTTCAAAAATAATATTTCTCCCATTCCTATTCAAAAAGATTGATCTCTGAAGTCGTGAAATTACGTAACTCGAATTGCCCAGTTTGTTAAATACTGAGTGACTTCGAGAAATACTGACTGCAGGAGAAAACCTGAGTAGCTCCTTTTTATCCTAAATGCAATCAACCACGAAAGGACTCCTTAATAATTAAATAATTTTCGAGATGAAATGATAAACAATAAAAAGTTTACATTCTTTTAGCCATTTTTCGAGGACTATCCATAGATCTAAAGGGGATAGTAAAGTTTTTGTGATGACCATTTTGATAAAGTAGATCGAAAGATGCCAAGGACTTCCTAACAAAATTTGGCTGCCTCTCTTATTGTCCGAGTCAAAGTGACTTTACCACTTCGCTTTTAAGCTAACACTTTTCTTTCACTTATCGCTCTCGAGAACGATCCAGGCGTCATCAGCATTGAATTCCATAGAGTTCCTGGCAGAAGTGAGGATTGACCTGATGGACGACTTGACATTCTGCCCGATGTAGAAGTCGTGGCCCTCGTAGAGGTGCTGCTCGTAGATGTGCCGGTCCTCGTGTACAGCAGTTGAGAAGATGTAACGGAAGTCGTAGAAGATCTTGGTATAGGTGTCTGAGTCCATGAGTTTGTCCTGTCTGAAGAAGGACCAGCTGCCTTCGACGTTCCCCCGGACATTTGCTAGGTTCGGGGGGATAAATGCCTTGATGGAATATCCACTGAGCGTATCAGCATACTCAAAGGTATTCGCCGAATGAGCTGAACCTGTCCTCTGCCAGGTTGTGACCAGTTCCTGCCCCAGATGATACGCCACGTGAGCTGCACCGTTAACCCAAGGCTCTTCCTCGTATACCATGTGGCTGGCAATAATCGTCGCAATATCCAACATTGAGTCTTCAATATGCTTACGAGAGCACAATCCCAGGTTGTCAATGTGCACGTGCCCTCGCAAATCGTAGAGAATTGGTGTTGATACCCCGTTCATTTTTAGCGTTAAAAATTCAGATCGAATGGTTGAGGAATTTGATGCGCGGACTGAATGATCTTCCACTTCCACCACTTGGTCGCCACCGTTTTTTTAAAATAATTTTTATCAATTTATTTTGAGCTTTTCGGGCGATAATAGGGGACAATGGATGGCTTGGCAGGTTTACACTGTGTTTATGATTTGTGTTATCTATATCTTTATTTTTTCGCCAATGGCCGACATTTTCATAAAAGCTCATTCTTTTGTAATTCGCGATGTCCTTGAAACCCTTAAGCCTCACGCACATGTGTCATGTGACTTTCTGGAAGAGAGGGGGAACCGGCAAGAAAGCGGGAGGTGTACACCACGAGAGAGACTTATAAAGAATATGCCCCAAAATCCTAATTGAATGAGATAATTAGTCATTGCGATTATTGCCAGAGCAATAGAGGTGAATTGATTAAAGTGGTGAGTCTTTTCGTGATTTTCGATATTATTATTTACGTTTTTAAATCAAGAGGATATGAAGGGAATAGTGTCCAAGTAATACCTCTGTTTAGATTTTTCTTATTGCACCGGCCTAGTAAATCAATCGTCATGTGGATGAATACTTTAGTCGCGAAATGGTGATAGCAGATTAGACGAGTTATCTGTTCGATGAAGTTTTGGAAAGTATCTTTGGAATTTGGGGGATGAAGTGGTAAAGCGACATAATGAGGTTTTGTGGGTGCAGAATCGTCCAATAAAATAAGAAACAAGAAAAGAATAACTTGTTTTGTTGACAAAAAAAAACATTCCTATTTCAGATTATCCTCGTCGTATGCCCTAATTGGATCGTTGAAAACACTTTTTTGAAATTGTTGTCTTCCCTACAGTTTTTACGATTTCCTACTATAAATTAATAAAATTGAAAAATGTCTTAGGCTAGGAGAATAACATAATCATAAAATAATTTACAAGAAAAAGATCAGTAGCAATCAGATCGATGGAAAATTTTTAATTTCAGAATCAGGATGACGAAGTTTATTGGATCAGGAAGGGGAGGAAAAAAGCGGTTCGAGATTAGGAGTACAGACCACTGCCTGAAAGGCATTGGCAAACCAACAATTCGCCGTTTGGCCCGTCGTGGAGGTGTAAAAAGGATTTCTGAGTTGATTTATGAAGAAATACGAATGGTACTTAAAGCATTCCTGGAGAATGTCATTCAAACTGCCATGATTTATACTCAGCATGCCAAAAGGAAGCTAGTTTCACCACTTGATGTGGTGTACGCTCTCAAACATGTGGGGCGTCCCCTGTATGGATTCGAGGGATGATTGTGCATAATGAAGTACACTCCATTTTTTATTTATTCTTTTTCACTTTTTTACACTGACAGTATAATCATCCTTCTTAATTGAAGACCAATCATATTCTAGTTTAGAAAAATGTTGTTCAAACATTTGACTACTTTAATGAGCTTAGTTTAGTCCGGGGCAATTCCTATTACCCTTGAGGAGAACATTCTGAGAAACATGATGAGGACACATAGGAATGACTTTAAAAAATGTGTTAAAAAATTTGAATCCTGTACTGGGACATGTGCACTTGAAGGCAACCCATTAATCTATTAAACGGAAATGGATTACCTCGGGATGAGATTTTGGTCGAAAGCTTGTAGTAATAAATGGTGACGTTGTAAAAGAGTTGTTTTATTTGTACGCTTATTAATTTGTTGATTTTTAGTTCCTTCATTGATCAAAAAAATATTCATAAAATTCAAGCCTCTAAGGATTCTGCCATTTCCTCTCAAGACTCATCGTAAATCCTCAAAATATTCAAAATAACAACGAAAAATTTACAAGGAATAAACAAATAAACTTTATTTGCACAGAGTACAGGAATAATTTTAATTTAAACAGGCATGTAACGACAATGTTTGTGTAATTCTCGAATTCTCTAAAAATTCTCGATGTGGTCAACAATTCCTATAATTACTATCTTTATAATTAATAAATCCCAATTGTCCAAGTTTTGGAATTTTCAAACTCAATCAACCAAAATAGGCAAACAGCTAAATTAAGTCAACTCATCGTCCAAATTCCCTTTGAACTAGGAGCCCCAATCCGTATTTTTTAAAATATCTACAATTCTGCGTCATTTATATTAATCCAGTTCAAGACGATAGTAATCAATCATGGCTGCCATCTCTCTCATCAAATAAGCCACCAACGCAGGTTTCCTCACTTCTATTTCCTTGTACTCATCAGTGCCAACAATAAACGGGAGATTACGACTAATGAATTTGGCGACGTGCTTCTTAACGTTTGTTGCATTGTAGTTATCAGCAAGTTCCAGAGTGGAAACAGCATTATCGATAGTGACTCGTTCACAAAGGATTCTCTCACAGCGAACAATCAAGCCCTCAAGTGAATATCTGTCAGCAGCTATCAGGAGCTCCCCAACATTGTCCTTGCAGTTATCGAGAGTGTCCGTGTAAATGAACTGCAGCATTTTTCTGACAACTTCAGGCTTGATCCCCTCGATCTTGATCTCATTCGTTTGACGCTCTTTGAGGTCATGCTCGAACATCGCAGCAAACACAGGACTGCGAGTCTGCAGGAGAAGTTTGTGAACATGAAATTGCTTATCCTCAACAACGATCACGGCGTCCGAAAGCTTTGACTCCTGGAAGAGGATCCACATGTGGTCACGAAGTCGAAGGGGACAAGTCCCGGTGGTCTCAATTGTTAAATTACGAGGACCCCCCGTAAGGAAGATCCTGCAGGCCACCTGGATCGTGTCGTTCTTGACGTAGTTCAAGACGTTAGGTCACTGCAGATTTGAACAACTAGAAAGTATCAATCAATTCACAATCCTCATATTTATTATCATTATCTGAAAATACATTTTTCATAAATGTTAACAATAAGCCATGTAAAGGAAATCAATTCCTTGGATTCATAATATACTTTATCAGATCTTATAAGAATTCTTACATCTAGCTTCAATACACAATTATTATCATCACACCAGGACAAACAGAATCGGAACATTGTTATCCATGGCTTTAATGATTTTCTAAGTCACGCAAATACAATGGAAATAATTACTGAGAATGAAGAAATAGTACCTAATAATAAAAAACCTAATTTCGGCCAGGTTAACTGTATATTGGATCTGTTAGGGTAAGAACAGACATGGACGACAATTCCGTCGTCACTGACCACTAGTCGATCCTCCCTCCATTTCAGTGACCTTCTCCTTAACTTCAGTCACCTGGCCTCTAAGAAGATCCCGCAGGAGTTCTGTGTGGTTCTCCTCCAGGTGTTTATATCCAGTAGACTCAACGATCTCCACGAGATGATTATTTATGAACCCAATGACCTGAGCCTTGAGGTCTTTGGCGTGACACTTGTGAGCTTTTATGAGGGTTTCAGCAGCATTTTTGACTGTGAGTCTTTCGAAAAGAGTTGCCTCGCACATGGCCTTGAGCTCGATGAGGCTGAACTTGTCGGCAGCAGCCATCAGCTCGTCAGTCATTACCTCGATATTCTTGACGCCCCCAGTGTATATAAATTGCAGCATTCTCCTGAGGATCTCTGCACTGATTCCTTCCAGCTGCAGGTGAACGGGAACTTTAACCAATTCCTTTTTCTCTTTAGATTCATCGATCATCTGGCAAAGGATGGGGCTACGAGCAGCCAGGATCATTTTGTGCGTGTGAAAAATCTTCGTCTCAACGGTTATGGAACAATCAGTGAATTTCGACTGTTCAAAGCACAACCACAAGTCCTTCACCACTTGTGAGTCCCTCGATGTGATTTCACTGCAATTCTCTCCTGATTTTATCTCATAATCGAACTCACAGGAGATCCTCAGCTCGTCGTTGGTCAGGAGGTCCCCAGCGTTGGATAATACGTGATTTCGTTTTATGAAGTGCCTCCAGCCCACTGACATTCCACTCCTGAATTTTCTCTGTGCCCCCTTCATTCCAATCTTCTCCTTTGTTCCCGCCTTGACGATTGACAGCTGCAGGTGTAGCTGCACCTCTGTATTTCTTGTTGTCTTCAGCATGAGGTACAGGGAGAAGTATTCACTACATTCTCTGTCTCTCCCGCTGGGATACAGGTCCAGATACCACTTGTCTTTGTTATCAGCTCCTGTCGCGAATAATGAAGACTGAATGCTCTCCCCAGGCTCTTCTGTCAACTGGCTAAAGTCCTCGATCGTCCACTCCCAGGCTTCTTTCAAACGTTTCATATCTGTTCCCAGAATCTTCCGGATACCCTTCGGAGTTCTGTTCGTCTCTGGGGACATTCCCATTGGATTTCTCGTCCGCATTTTGAAGGATGAGGTTTTGTGGTACTCACTCATGGAAATAATGATGGATTTTGGGTTAAGAAAGGGTTTTGAGTGAAGAGTTGTCTTGCAACTATTATTTTTTAGTGATCGTCATGTGTTAGTATCGACAACTTTCAGTCAAAAGTCGCGAAACAGTTTCACCAACTTCGTGTGACAAGGAGTGATAACTCGGTCAATAGAGCAGATTCCTGTGCTGCCTTCTAGATTTAATTTCAGGACGGAATGGTACAGAAATTTTATTTTTATTGATAATTCCGTTATTACATTGGAGAATAAGTCTGAATAAGTGAGTCGCTCATAAAAATAGTGTTATTATATAATCTTATATATTTTTTTATATTTATGACGCGTGTTGACTATAACAAATAATCACAACGATTAACACGAAAAGAAACATCAAAGGAAAAAAAGTGAAGAAAATATCTAAATTACTTATTTAGTGATCCAAGTATTATTGAAATCGGATGATTATTCTATTCACTTCATGTCTTATTTTTCTTGAAAAAGTAGAAAAATAACTCTCAACGAATGCCAACTTCTTGAAATTCAGAATTTTCATTCATCTGCTGTCTTTTTAATTATGTAACGATTGAGGATAAATTAACGATATATGAAATTTTAAATGTTACGAAAACAAATCAAAAACCATGTTGAGAATTTGCACATCTGAGGCTTTCTTTGATGCCCAAACGTATTCAATGTTTAAACCAGAAATCAAATCTCGGCTTTCAGTCTTAAATTATTAAAATAGAGTCATATAAAATCTACCTGATATGAAAGTAATCTATTAAATGGATGAAATAAAGGTAGGCCTTTTAAAATTACATCCGAACAGGAAAAGTTATCCAATCGTGTTCCTAAGAAAGTCGTTCAGCATTAGCAGCCAATGTGCCAGGACGCTGAACGATGAGTGTCTTGCCGAACAATTCAGCATTGTCATAGATGCGTTCCACCTCTTGTGTCTGGTCAGAAGTCTCGAAGTAAACGTGACAGTACCTTAACGAGTGCTCAGGGATGGTCTTCATTTTGGAAGCACAAACTGGATGGAACGCCTCCAGCATTTCCAGGATGAAGTCAATTTCACAAGATTCGTGAATATTTGCAACAACGACGTCTTGGAGAGTGATGTGTTCAGTCGTTGGTGGATGACGTGTCCCATAAGTCCTGAGTGGACCCAGATTAGAGGATCCAATTGAGATTTTCTGAATGAGTTCAGGAAGATCATCTGCAGGGGCTTTTTTCTCAGCTGAAGAACGTGTTGGATCAAGAGGGATGGATTCAATGGACGCACTGATGGAATTGGAAGATAATTCGTAGCTCGAAGAGGGCGTCGATTGTGCGTCTGAGCTGAGAGAATTCGGTAGGATTTTTTTTCCCCTGTGAATTTCAACTCCAGACCGTTGACCATCTTTTAAATCATTTCCAGTTTTACCATTTCGTTCCTCTTTATCAGGAGATGACTTCGAGTCAAAGGAGTCATGTTTGCCTTGACGACTAGGCGTCGATCTGAATGGCCGCAATCTTATTGTGGAGTTATTCCTCATTCCGAAGGCACACGTTTTCACGTCTTCCTCTCTTTTGAAATGTATGAAGCAAAAGTCACGAGGAGAATTCTGCTGAACTTTCACGATTTCTCCGTACTTGGAGAAGAAAGCCTCAATTTTGGAGATGGAGAGGGCTGCGTTGTTCGCGAAGTAGACTTTCCAGGTGTCTGATTTTGCATCGAAGATGTAATATTTTGGACGTTCTTGAGATTCGTTCCACTTATTTTTAGGGGTTCTCGGAGATGACCGTTCTGATGACATTGTCGTAGTGTTTGTCGGAAATCTCCTGGAGAAAATGAAGAGGATTTTGACAGGTGTGGATCGACTTTACTGAGAACTGTCGATTTTGATTGTTCGTTCCAAAATGAGTACATGATTCGAAAGATTTTAGCGTACAGATGTGAGCAGAAATAGGAATAAATTCAAGTACAGAAGGAAATGTAAATTAAAACTTACGCTATGTTGTGCTGAAGGTCGTCAGTCTGTTTTCTCTGATTTCAGAGAAATATGAATATTCAATAATGTATGATGATCAGCAATGAATGATATAACGAGGAATGACGAGAAATCAGTAAGATGAGGTTAATCGCCTATAGATTCAGACATGAACGAGTGTTTCTGGTCCGTTTTGGGATTTGATGATGTTAATTTTCAACTCTTTCTTCTATTCTTTGTTAAGGAGACGGGCAGAGACAGAAACTCGATGATCGTCTGCGCATGCGTGTGGAGTCGGGTGGGAGGAGAGTGTTGGGTGATAATTACTCTAGTTTTTATGCTGAAAAAATGTATTTATTTGCATTAACATGTTGGAATCAGAGCTGAATCACTGAACTTTTTTATCTTTAAAATCTCATTAAAATGAGGATGAAATTATATTCTCTGATCGATTAATGCACTTTATTTGTTTTTGTAATGAGTCTATGCATCGAACTTGTGCGGTAATTTGTTTTCGAATCATGAACATTCAACGGGACATCTAAAGAACTCATATTTCCCGAATTTCTCCTACGATTGAATTTACGATTGTGTTGGGGGAAATGGAGGAAACCTCTGAAAAAAAGAAAATCTGGGTTTTTTAATAACTTTATTAACACACGATCCAGCGATATGAATGAACTTTTAGCGTCTACACATTTCCACTGGATTATTCACATGGAACGTTACTCGATGTTGCTATAAGTTAATTTCTGCAATTCGATTGTTAAATAGTGAAGACGTCGAAAGTTTTCCTCGTAAACAGTTCGACGTAAAAATATTCTGTGTTTCTGATTAAAATTTTTGGAAATTGTCCTTTCCAAAAAAAAAAAAATGTTCTGATGCTGCATGAGATTTCTCCAGTGGGTCCATTCCAATATATCTTGCTCTGGTGTTCTCATTCTCCTGAGGGTATAACAAATTGTTCGTTATTAATCAACACCAATTTAATCTTTTTTAATTCATGAGAAAAGGATTTTTCTGAGATACTCTATTGAATATCTACCAGAATTTTCTAGATATTCTCTTCGAGCTCTATTAGAATTTTATTAAACAGTTCCATTTTGTGCGAGATTGTGGAGAGCAATTTTAAAAAGAAAAAAAGGAAGTGAAAGGATTTTATTTTAGTGGCGGAAATTCTGGGGCGTGAATTTTCCATTTTTTTTTCTAATGACAAACCTATGAGAAAGAAATGATAAATAAATTCTCACCTTATAAATTCTCCTTGCACTTAACATATAAAAAATTCTGTCTCTGATTCTCTGTCCATTCTGAATAATCAGGAATTGAGGTCCGAATATCAGTGCAGAGATCCCAGGGATCAGACTCAACGGATTCCTCGATGACTGGATTTGTCTCCAAGGGTATAACTGGAGAAAAACCTTTCGAGTAAAGTCTGCAGGGAAACGCGTCCATGCAGGTCTTTCTCTTATGCTCGAAATTTCTGTCGTAATAGTCGTGGTCCACAGCCATGTCATGAGGATGAAATTTCTCGTAGTAATCGATGAGCCGGGAGTCCTTCATCTTAAAGTAATTGTGGTCCCTTAAGACAGGTAAATTTCTTTTGGGATTCACCTTTACGTTTTGATTGTTCATATTGACTTTCTCGTCAGGCACCGGTGAAAATAACGCCGGCGACGATGCGTACGAGTGTTCAGTCAGTACCGTCCTCCTCTGGGACCTTTGGGACAGCAAATCTCTGAGGATACCAGTCCTGACGTCAGTCTTGTCCTCTGAGTAACAGTAAATCTTAATATCCTCATCGAAAAATCTGTCCTGAGTCACAAGAGCATGCGGCTCCACATCAATCTCCATCCTCTCCTCCTCGTTATTAACAACAACAACTTTTTCAGCATTCCCATGATTTTTATTGTGTGAGATCAGCAAAACCTGCGGGTCCATCTTTCCATTGTCCAGATCATTGATATTCAACCTTTGGTTTTCTAAATTCTTAATTACACCATTTCTAAATTCCGAGTCAATCTCCATTGACTTGAATATCATTTTGTAACAAATGTCTACGATATTGCCGCAGGAATCACAGATTTGTTGAGACGAGTCGTTATTCCCCACTATCTGCAAGAGAAATTATAAAAAGTCAATCAAATTATTAGGGGTAGTAAATGGCCATCAATATTTATTCTCATTTACTTTAATAGGAAGACATGTGACCATTTTTCCAGCGATATTCAATTTACCGCTGAAAATGGGGGATAAATTGTTGCTCTCCTCTCCGCATAATCGACATTTCTCCGTCATGACTGAATTTATCACGGGATACGGTGAAGCTTCATTAATTATAATTCCACTGAAGATTTCAATGAAGCACAAATAGTTATTTTTCAAAGGAGACACATTCCATTTCGCTCCGTCCTCTCGTGGATAATCAGCTGTTTCGCTGATAAGAATACGTTTTTACTTCCTTTCCATTTTTTGAAATTATTTACGCGTAATAATGATTTTAACGTAGTTAGAAGATTTAGGATAATATCGGGTGTCTGTCGATTATATATCTGATAACTGCGTGTGACGAAAAAATGAAGTCTTTATTGTTGGTTATGTTATTGTGATAGTTGGAAATTTCTCGTGCTGATGTCGCAGTAGTTTCTGTTCATTTTCTGATTTCTGTTCTGTTCTGTTCTGTCATATTCCCTCCGTTAGTTTTATTTTTATTAGCTCGTATATCACTGCAAGAATTAGTTATAATTGTTAATTAGTGCTAATTGTTATTAATAACTAAACTAAAGAAAAGACTGTGATTTATCGTTGAAGGGGGCAATTGTTGTTGGGATGAAACAGAACGTGTGGGGCTTTCTTTTAATAATTGTTGATTTTTGATTAAGTTCTTCGATTTTTACAATGGTCGAGGATAGCGTTAGTCCATATCACAGGCCTAAGGTAAGAGTTTAGATTATATTTTTAGATGAATAGAGAAAATTATATTGGCATGAGCATTCAGAAAATTCTAACCTGTTTTCAGACCAAAACCGCAAGACCCAGACCTGTTTACTTGTGGAATGTTTTGGATGTTCAAAAGTGGCTGAGGAGGCATTGTAGTGATTATTATCAACTTTATCACGAACAATTTTTATACGTAAGTTAAAAAGAGTAGATCAGTGAGTCGAAGGAATTTATTATTTTTACCGCATAGAAACTCAAAGAAAATTATGGAGTTCTTTGTATTTCAAAAGTGGACTTTCTTCTTAAAGTGTCATTTGTTTTAATTGTATTAGCCCCTTGGAGAATATCGATGACTTGAAACACACTTACTTAACTTGAGATTACTTGAGATTGAGGATACAAATTAAAATATGAAAATAGCTCTTTATGGTTAATCATTTCAGTTATAAAACCGTCTGTTGACATTTCTTGAAATCCCTCATTCCGCAGATAATGCGCACGAAATTATAGAGTTATTGTTGAACTTATGAAATACATTTATCAGTGAATTGCAATGAAATTTGGTTTTCTGTCATCGATTAATATTTCCCACAAATCGTGGGGTTATCCAAATGGCGTCGATTAGTACCTGTGAGAATTAATTATTAGACTGTATGTAGAGGACAGCAGAGTAAACTTGTTTCTCAATTAAGTTTAGCCCGTTAACTCTAGTAACCACAATAGAGTAAATCAACATGTTGAGACTGTTCACCCGAGCCATTAGCATAATTGAATAATGAAGTTGTAAATGACATATTTTCCTCTTATCTCGTTTCAGCACGACATAACAGGACGAGTTTTGCTTAGAGTTAACGAAAACATCCTCCTGAGATTGGGAATCGTAAACGAGGAGCATAGGATGGATATTTGGCGTGAAATAATGAAGCTCCACCTTAAGACAGACATCCTTGAGATAAGGGATATCGAGAGAAGAAATAATATGAACTACGACTGATATTTTCGATATTTTTTATCACATCTCTTGTTGGATATTATCATAGAAGTATTGCTCTTTTATTAAATCTCCAGTTTACATGGATCACAGTGGTATTTCAAAGTTAACATTTATTTACAACGAAATAGTGAGAAGTTCTGAGATTATTGTTAACATTGACGTTTGCGCTATTTACTCGATTCTTCACTCAACATACTTTGGCAGGCACAGACTTGAGTAGTGAAGTGAAGAAAAATATTGGGAGAATATTTTCCCCTTCCTATCAGGTAAATCCAGAATTTGGAGAATTTTATTCCATGGAATACCGATGATTCCTCACATCACTACAATTTTCTTCACAACAAAATAGAAAACTAAAAAACAAAATAGCATTTTCAGGAACCTTACATATTCACTTTTATCCTGAGCGTCTAGAGAAAGAAAATTAAATAGAAAAATCAAGCATCTTCGGAATTTCGTACACGAAATGGCGAAAATTTCAAAAGAATTTTTGGCGAAAATAGCGGTTTTTCTGCGGACGTTTTTTTTTTACATAAATGGAGACGGTGACAGGTTTTCCTATTGCATTTTCTTAAAAAATATCCCATTCAGATATTATTAATTAAATCATCCCAAATTGCATTACTCTCCAGGGAAAACTGCTACGTGTACCCAATTAATCACATTATCCTGTCGTCCTGCATGCATCCAAAAGTACAAGAATTGACAGCAATATTGATCGTCTGTCCTGTTTGCTTACTTATTATTTACAGCTATAAACGCGAATGTTTTCCCCCGGAATATGTCCTTAGTTTGACTAGAATAAAAATTGATCATCCTTCGAAGTAACTGAACAGAACTGTACATTAATGTACATTAATGACCGGATATGACGAATGTTTGGCAAGTTTTCGTCGATTTATAGATTTCGGGGATGTTTAAGTATTGGGAATACTTTTCATTCCATTATAGGAATTTAGGAAGCGAATAGAGTAAAAAATAATATTCTTCTCACAATTTATCTCCAACTTTGAGATGGTCGATTTTTTTTCAATTTCAATTGAAAAATTTCCAACATTTGATTCGAAGCGAATTAACTCTTAAAGAGTTCCAATAAAAATCCAGTGGATTTTTCAAAGAAAGCGTCAAGTTTTTTTCCATAAAAGTTTTCCCTACTTATATCTCGACAACCTGGAACTGAAGCTGAACGCCAACACAAACACGACGAAAATAATCTCCGAGTCCGTAAATTTGCTTATCCATTCTGTCTTCAGTTCGACTGAGGGACAACCGAATGAATTTAATCACAGACACAACTCCTGGTGTTCCCCGAGTTCTCGCGTATGTTTGTGCCGGCCAGATGAGAAAACATATAATTCACCAGTGCTGATATCATTGTTTCTGTTCGTTGATCGGTGAATGCTGTTGCGATTGTTGTTTCCGTTTCGGATGCAGCAGCTGGACTTGAGGGACCGAGAGTCAGGGTCCAGGCCATTGACAGAGGATCTCGATGGATCGCGTAGAGAAACACCTCTGTAGAATGAACTGTTGGACTGATAACCGGATGTCGGCCTGCGCCAGTCATATCTAAACCAAAAAATCACAATTTTATTACCTCCTCAATTCCAAGGCCTTTTTTCTATATTAGGAAATTAAATATCAAGGATTCTTACATCCAATTCCTGTAAATGACAGATATTTTGCATTCTTAACATGTCGACACATACATAATAATTATTTTCCTGAGAAAGAAAAGGCCATTTATGTAATATATTATAAAAATTAATTTATTTGATTCCAATGATGCAAATGTTTATGAAAATATGAAAATGCATATTTAACTCTAGATGAAACGAAAAAAAGTAATAAATCCATAAAGCACCTGAGAATATACCTAAACGACGCTCTCGTTGTCTGGGTCTTATCCATATCTAAGCTCTCGGTGGGAGGACTTGCGGACCATTTTCTGGATCTGAATGGGCACCGCTGTTGAAATTCCCTCTTGAATTTCTCCTGTAGCCGAAAATAAAATCAAGGGGCGGAATCATGTTCAGGAATGGGTTAACTAGGATCAGTTATTATAATTTTCTCTTATCTACATTGAAAGAAAAGGTAATTCTATGAATGGGTATTCTCTGCAAGCATCGGAAATTCCTGGCGAGTTATTTTCCATGAATATTTGCAGAAAATATTGGAGGCACGTGAGGAATGCCGAGGGACAGAGATAACTGGGGTTGTAACAGAGGAATGCATTATATTAGGGCTTTATGGAACATTTATTTTTTAAATATTCTGATATGAGCGTCACGCAGGGTGTTTCATGTGCTAGTTTTAAAAAATGTTAAATTGCACTTATCAATTCGCTGCTGCTATCAATTGGTTGCTGAACTAACTAAACGGTAATTCTATTAATTCAAATGAACCCATTAATTTTCAACGCGTTTCCCTTGTGAATACTTCCCTCAATAAATTTCGCAATCGGATTATGTTAAATAATGAATTTATCATGGTCAACTCACGTTGTAAATTCCATAGATGAATGGATTGTAGCAGCTATTCGACATGGCCAGCCAGTCGCAGCAAAACCATATAATGTTAATGTACCTGTACCTAGAATAGGGAATGAGGGAGATATATTGGTAGATCCATCATAAATAGGGCTGAAGGGGTGAAACGGACAGTTTCCAATGTTTAATAACTCGAGAACTTCAGACGGAAATATAATCATTTTTCTTTTCATATTGAAGGGATATCGAAATGTTTTATCAAGATCTCCCTCCGGAATTCTTTAGAATTTCAATAAGAATCCAATACGAGTTCTACCCGGAGAATTCCATCAGGAATTCAACAGATTTTTTTTTAACCTAGATGGAGAATTTCAGGAATTCTTGTTAGCAAGTCAGAGTAAAAATGACGATTTTTCGCCCAATTTTAAACGTTATACAACTTTTAATTGGATTTTCTGACTGAAATTTCTGGATTGCCACTACGTCTCACGATTACGGCGCGTCAAATTGAATTTTATGAGATATTTAATCGCGTAGGTCTTTCTGAGCAGCTTTGTAAAAGTGCTATAATGGATTGTAAAATTGTTGGCACATGCTTGATGGAATAAAAATTTGAACATACTCATTAATCTCGGCGTAAGTATACTGGAGCACATTGTACGTTTGAAGCGGTAGCCAGCAGACCGCGAATAATGCAACGACTATAACCAGCATTTTAATCACCTGGAGATTAAAATTTTGCATGATAAAACTCCGATAATAACATCCCCTGAGACGTGATGGTGTGCGTTAATATTGAGGCGGTTTAATTTAAGATTCGTTCACTCACTTTTTTTTTGTTTTTCATGAGATTGGCATCCCGCGAGTCCTGGGCATTTCCCGGTGCTCTACTGCCCCAGAGTTTCAATGCCATCCGTGCGTACACACACGAAATTATACTTAGGGGTGTCAAATACTGGAGAAAACCAAGTAATGCACGATATGTCAACATTGAACCCTCTGACATGTTCACGTTCTGGCAGAATGGTTTCACATGGTAACGACCACCTGAGAAAATTACATTATATGGATTACTCCATGCCTCGCATATACCAATGACTACTAATAATCAATCAATCAATCAATCAATCAATCAATCAATCAATCAATCAATCAAAATAGAAGTTCATCTACTGGAAATAATTCAACAATGAATAATGTGGCTTTCCGTTTTTGATTCTCAAATTGCATTTTTATTTTTTATTTTTTATTTTTTTACTACATCATAAACAGAATTCATCATTTATTTTGATTTTGAACAATTGAAATTTACTCAACAATGAATATCACCCGGTATTATTACTATATCACTGCTGGTTGATCGAATATTGGGGATAGAAAATCCGCTATTTGTTTTGAATTTGAAGAATACGAATATACTGCAGAATAAATGTCACCCGTATAATTGCAATATTAATCAATATTTATTGAAGCATTGCCTAAATTCATTTGAATTCACGGCGATGATACATTGCTGGGATTCAACCCGTCGATCATTACAATAAATTGGCGCGCAATAAACAAAATCAGTTTAAATGGTAACAATTGATTCGGTATTTCCACATGATCAGCCGTTGTTGAGAAATATTTAATGGGAGTTGGTGCATTTAAAAGCACCGATGGGCGTCTGATGCCTTCGAATAAAGATAGATTCATAGATATTCTTAGATCGAAGCAATATCATTGACCTTGAGACAAAACAGACATCTTTTTCCACCAAGTGCTCGACCCATCATAAATCTCCGAGAAAAATTCATATCATGTTATAAAATCGTACGTGAGCAATTTTACTCCAACAACTACATCTTCGCTCCACCCCCGCCTAGATACTCGTCTATTTTACTTTTCCCCCAGGTGTCGTAAAATACTCCCAACTTTTTATGTTCCAATCCTCCTCGTGTCACAGGCAATCTTCCTTTGTGGAAAATCCTAGTAATATAAAAAAGGACAAGATACTCTTCGACACGTACGAAAAATAACGAGAAAAATGCCAAGGAGTTATGAATGTTTATCCTCAATCTGAAGGACTTGAAAATTTTTTTTTTCGCAAAAATTAAATTGCCGTATTTATCTTTGTGAGAAATGTAGTGAACTCTTGTCAGCAAACGGATATCCTTAAGATACGGAATTATTTATACTCGAAAAAGCCAACAATAAATAAATCAATTCATTTTTTAACGACGCTTGCTTTATGAATTATGTCATAAAACCGAAATGTTAATTCAGGCATTTTTTGATATTTTAGAGGAATGAATTATTCTGTATGCAAAAATGATTTTCTATTATTCTTCATAAGATGAATAGTTTTTGAGATCAATAGATTATTTTCAAGAGAATCATCAGGTTTACTGGTGCACCACAGGGATATTTAACTGGAGCTTCATCCTTTGGTTTAAATTTCAATTTCCGGGTCATGTTTGACCAGTGAGATCTGCCAAAATTGATGGACGGGATTTTCCCGTATGGTAATGGTTTTACTATGTGGATATTCGACGAGCCGTTGGGGGATACGTCAATTTTATGGCTGGGATATTCAGTCGTGTAATTTTATTCGGATTTCATCGCAAAAAGCCGTTGGCTGGTGCAGATTCTCCATGACCCTTTCGCGCCTGGTGGATTGAATTTAATCGTTCCTTGGAATTAATTTTTGGAGAGGTGTTATCTATCATAATGTCAGTGAAAAGAGACGACGAGTTGAATTTTTTGTTGGAATAAATTTAAATTGAAAATCTACCGATTGCAATTTTTCTGTTCAAAAAGGCGATAATTAGTCCGAATATGCACGAAAAACAATAAACGCCAAGTGCAAATTCAGACAGAACATCCGCCCACGTAATTAGTATAACGGGAAATCGATAGAAGTTTTTTGACATGCGATGACTATTGATCACTATGCAAACTAGAGTCCGTCGGAGGAACAATTGTTTTCGTCCGATGTTCGTCACTCCCACTCCTCCAAGTACTCGCCATTGTACGGGCACGTTTTTTACGCAGGATTTAATCAAATTTCGTCCTAATCTATTCCATTTTACGTAAAAGTCACTGTTTCTTTAACTACACAGCTGATAGCTAACGGGTGGCATTCATTCCATATGCAAAGTGAGAAAAAAAGAAAAAAACTCTCAGGGCTTGGAATTTTATTACTTATTTAAATTCCCGGGTGTTTTTGCTATGCGAGTCTGGGAAAGAAAGCGTAAAGTGAAAATATTTCCATGCAATTGTGAATATGAATTCATTGATCGAATTGCAATTTATAATTCATTTGTGGCCCCGCGAATTTGTTATTAAATATAAATCTTAGAAGAGAATTATATCGAATGAAAAATTGTATTTCCAGATAGTCGCCTCTTCATTGTATTACTTGTACTCATAATTATATTGATAGGCCATAGTAATTTTTCGAGATAAATGGATGACCAAAAGAACTGTAAAATTCGACTTATTTAACTTTATCACTTCGTTACTGGTTAATTATGGAAATCCCCGTGCAAGCGGGGTGTTGAATTTCACATAATCTGATACGACGAAAAGATAAATTATCCTCGGAGTGTAAAAATATTACCCCTAATGAGATTACTGTAACTGCGTCTGGAGGCGCAGTTAATAATCTTTCTCGCCCAAGGACTTGGATAGTATCCCTCAGGCCTGCATAACAGAAACTTCTTCCGAAGAAACTGGAATACTTTTTTTCAGAGAGCCATAAACAAGTTACAAGAAGATTAATTGGCTCACCATTTGAACTCTCTGGGACTAGGACAACCCTAAGGGCAGCCGCCATTGGAGCAGCCAAAGCACCACTCACCATCCAAATACCAGCAATGATGATTTTTGCACGTAGTTTACTGGGTCTCGCACTGTAATTATCATCAAACCTACAACTTAGCTCTGAAGAGAAATATTCAGTAAAAATAACGGAATTTATAGTTCACTGGTACGGAGAGAATTTTAATACAATGTATCCTGAAGTATTACATTATCTACAGTAATGAAGGTATAAAAAATAGAGTAGTAATAAATAATAGTGGATTATGAAAATAGAGAGTGTTCAATGAAAATCTCGGAATCTAAAGGAGATCATGAAAAATTTGTTATAAAATATTTTTAGTGCGATGGAAAAATATTGTTATGGAAGTGTCGTAATTTTCCTTATTTTTAGAGGTATTTTGGAAGACTTATAGAGCAGCTGAAGAGATTTATTTAGTTTTACAACTTCGCAAAAAAAGCGTAATCCTTCGCGAAAGTACGTAATTACATCGGATCTTTGCCAAAACAGCCCGTAATTTTCACACCAATTTTTATCTCTGTGTACAGTTTATGATAGTAGACTCATATCGCTGCTCATTTGAACTTCTAGAATGTTAGCAAATATTTATTAAGACTGGAAATCATAAACTAGATTTTCTGCCTCGCTAATCTTTCGTATGTGACTCGTTAACAATGTTAATAAAAAATGGAAATTCATGGTCAGAAGATTAATAATGTGAAAACTTATAACTTTTAAAGTTTTGTGAATTATCACAAGAATATTTACATCTCTTGAGGGTTTTTACAATAAATGTACAGATGTATTTTCGATATGAAGGTTCACTTGAAGAGCAAAAGAATTTTTCTCCGTATGAATTCAATATTTTTTCTCTTGAAGTGGATGGCATTTCTGGAAAGTACTTTTACATAGTTATATTTATTTTTCCTGAAGTGAACTGACCTTAAAGGTTTGAGAATTGCCCTGTGACGATCCACTGCTATTGCTGTGAGAGTGAAGACGGAAACGTTGACGCAGAGTACTTGCACAAATGGACAAAAGGCGCACATGAAGTAAGGTAAGTTCCACCGCTGGAGAAGTGCCGCTTGGAACTGCAATTTTTCAAATAATATTTACACAACTTGGAGGACATTCATCGGTTTAATGCAGACTACAGGTGGCAGCAATTTTAAGTGGATAAATTAATGTATCCACTGCGAGGTTTGAAAGTGAGTTATTAAGTTGGCAGAAAGTTTGCGAATGAGAGTTTGATGTCGAGTACTTCATTCCCGTCACCTCGTCGAGTTTAATGATTGCAGAACATTTTCATAACTATAGCTAGAAGAAATTGAGTTATCGATGAATGATTATTGCGGTGTTACCGATTCAGTGCTTCTCCAGGCATTCGGAGTCATAATTATTTAAAGAAATTACCGGTATTCGGTGGCACAAAAGGAAAAGTGCATGCGAATATTTAACTTGAAGAATAACTTTTTATTCCTCCCATAGATTCATTAAAGTTTACCCTGGCCATTATTGTCACGAATAAGGTGTCAGTATTGCATTTATCTAGAGAACTTGATAAAGAAAAATGTAAATCGGAATAGAACACGCATATTTGCAGATTTTCTCGTATTGAATCCCATCAGCTGCAGTAGTTGAATAATCTCATTAATTGTTCCCGAGCCAGCGGTAATCTCAATCTCTGGACAATTGCAACCCCCGAATTATGGTACTCCAATTAATTAACAGTATGTACCTGGAATGGGATAGCAAATAGTCCGATGACAATGTCTGCGAGGGCAAGATTAGCGATGAAGCAGTTGGTAACACTCTGCATTCTCCTCGATGTCGCGACAATCCACATCACCAGGGAATTACCCGCTACAGCGAGCACCGAGATGCTGCCGTAGCAGACGCTCAAGAGAAATATGATTCCAGTGGGAACATCGTAGAGTTCATCTGCGCCAGCACATTGCAGTTAAATCGCCCCAGAAAAGATAGAAAAAATAACGATAATGGGTAACCGGAACTTTCGGCTTATCAATAATGTCGATAAAATCCGTTGGGTAATCGTTTGCGCTGCCTATGAACTTATTCACCCTCTTCATTCGGTTTAATTGGAATTGGATACTTTTAATTATCTCATTGGATAGTTGGAAAATCCCTCAGAGGTCATTTCGATTTACTTTTAATGGGATTTAATTATTACTTTCGTCGTATGTGAAAGTAATTTCTGATCATTAACTGACAAATCGTGAACGTGCGGTGACTGGTTTAAGTATTACGTTTCTATTACGATTTTAACGACGAATTTCCATTTTGATGGGTCCCTTACGAATTTGAAACATTGAAAATTGGGAATAGTTACAAGAAGGTCTTCGGAAGGTTGTGGAAGTCTCAGAAAGGTCATGTGCCATTAGCTGAAGTTTGTGGAGGTAGTTAGTGATAATTCGGCTTTCTTAATTGGAAAGTAAACTGGGAGACAGGGGGATGGGAAAAGAATGAAATTTTATGGAATAAATTGTTTTATTTCGGTGATTACCTACCGATATCCTCGTAAATGGGGAAACTCTCGTTGTACTCGTATGATGCGTTGATGTGTGAGTGCCAGATCGGCTCGATTTCCCCATCCTCTGGTGACCACGAGATGTTCATCCTGGGAGTAGTTGCCTGAAAAAGAATTCACCGCAGTTTATATGTCAGCATTATTTTATTGAACAGCTGAAATTTGCTGAAATTTTGTAGGTAAACCATGTTCATAGTCAAAGTTAAATTAACTTTGATCTGAAAAACGACAAGCCTACGGAAAATTGAAAAAATTTTGTGGATGTCTGTTGCTAAAAAAATTTTTAGTTCGAAAAATGGTAGCATTAAGTAAATTCATATTTTTGCAATTCAACCAATTTTGTACAATTCACCTTTGGCGTGGATCAAATCTTTGAATTCCGTGTAAAAAACTTTTATTTACGTAATGAAAATGCTAAACGAATCAACTCAAACGACGGAAAAAGTCGTTTCACGTGAATGAGAGCATCTCACCGTAGTTGAATTTTTTTTTGCGACTGATTTTTACTGTGTTGTGTTTGAGAATATTATTTTTGTTTGTTTAATGAATTAAGAAATTAATTTCGTTTTGATTGAAAATGGAGGAAATGAAACGCATCGATTTCTCAGTTCTCGACACGGCTTCATCCCCAGAATGCGAGGGCTTCAAATTTCAAATGTTGAAACTTAAACAAATAAAACTTAAACAGTAGTTGGCATTGATCGGCTGAAATTTGAGTGAAAAAAATAATCCCCTGAATAGGACTCGATCTTAGAAATTATTCGGATATTTCGGAGCTTTCGTGATATTATGAGTGAATATTTCTGTTTATAAAGTGTCTCGTCACATATCTACGGGATTAATGTTATTTTTCAGAATGCAATGTTGATGATGAAGCTTGCGGAAGGTTCGAGAATGATATCGAATAATTCATGGGAGGGTGCGTTTGTTGGGGTGAAAAGGGTGTGACCCCTTCTGGGGCGAACCAATAACTTCCCGATCAATTCTCTCTCCTTTGTTTATTGGAAACGGATAAAGCATCCCCTGACTTGGATCCAAATAATTACATAATCGCTTCAGCAACGACGTGGTGAGAAATAGCTACAGGCTCTCTCCGATCATGTCTCTCAAGAAAAAATACTTGAGATAACTAAATCATTCTTTTCTCCCTGTGCAGAAGATAATATGAAACGAGACAATCATCTCGTTTTTTTTTTAGAAAAAAAGAGAATTAAGGAACTGAGATGATTCTCAGATAATTCAAAATTTTCGGGTGCGAAAAAATTGAAAAGAAAAAGCAATATTTTTATTATTGAATGTTCAATAGAATTTGTAGGGGTACAGTAGAAATTAAACAGATCTTTTTGAAGGGATTTTTAAAGGGTAACTCGTTTTAAAGGGTCTCGTGTAGATGAGCAAGTCGAAAATCAACAATTCAATCATTCAAAGCAGCTTATCATGGATTACTCCGTTTGCGTCGCTTATCATCATAATCTATCATCGCCTGGGGTTGCCATTGCCATTACCACTGATTGTTATCGAACCAGAGATTTTGTGGGAATTTCATACATTATAGCGTCGCTTATCAATTTTACGGATGTTCTCGCGATTTCATGGAGCGATGAATACCGAAAACTTCATATCAACGCGTTGCTCAATAAAATTTTCCCACCTTTTCCCAAAATAGAACTACTATTTCTCTGAGAAATTTATTATCTCGCATCCAATTATTGGATATTTTTTAATATAGAGAAAGGCAAGTGTGATATTCCCGAATATGAGGGGAGAAATTCACGCCAGTGCTAGGGGAGTGAAATGACATTCATGAAAGTTACGTTTTTGTGGGAATCAGTAATATTTTATTTTCGCCCACCCCTATTTTTTCTCCGATGATTGATACATTTTTTTCATTCTTAGCTCACAGATTCTTGGGAATTTCTAGAACGACATTTGATCTGAAAAACCTACTGCCCTATGTCATTTGAGGGTGGCAGGCATTTCGTTTTATCTACTTGGAATCATCTTGATTTCTTATGAGATTCCAGCTGGAGTGTTAGTTATCGGGAAGATATATCATGGGAAAGTGTCAAAGAGGTCTCATCAGGATTATGAGAAATCTTCGGTTTTTGCAAGGGCGAAAAACCGAACACATACGCTTGGGAATTTCGCTACACTCTTGATAAATTACATTCGAAACTTCAAGTTAAAAGACGGTAAATTTTTAGTTATTCTCTAATGATAATTCAGTTGATCCCTTGTAATTCTACTCTTGTAATTCTCCCTTTTCAGATTCATATGGCACTGAAAAACCGTAAAAATATTAAATATTCAATTGCATTTGATATTGGATTCTTATAACGAGCGGAAAAATTCAAGATTTCATTGAGTTAATTATTATTTCAGATAATAAATGGATTTTTAGAAAATTGGTTTTTAAATGAAATTGAATTTAATCTCATATGATATATATAATTGAAAATTGAGATGATTTTGTGACTGAAATTTCGATAAATTTACAATACTGTGGTGAAAATTCAAATATCCACAAAAGGAATTTACACTGGAAACTCTAAATTTTGGTTCAGTTTCTCTCGAAAAATTCGAGTGGATATATGTTTGAAGTCGTAATTAAAAGTGCCTATTTTTTCTTCGTGTGGGAGTTGAATTTTTTCATTCAAATGTAATATTTTTTCCCTCACGCGTCATCCATTCCACCCTCATTGGGGTCTCTTTCATAATTTTTTCTCCCCCAAAGGATTCTCGACTGTAACTTTAGAAGACTTGGGATTCCCTGTCATTGGAGGAATCGTATTCGCGTAGGGACGAGTTGGGAAAGTATCTGGAATACGAGAATGGCTCCTGAATATGTGTGACGAGACCCTGCAAATGACGGTGAACGTCGGAAAAAGGGTTTCACCCACGAGTGATTGGAGAAAAAATTCACTTCGCGTCGACAATTTCATACCCCTCGGTGGTTGGCTAGAACATTTACATCACACGCGAAACAAAAAGAAAGTAGAAAGGGGTAGAAAAATTGCCAGTATTTTTTGAGCCGCTGTTACCTTGACGTGATGTGAAATGAAATGAGTAAAAAAAAATTCCGTTGATGTTTAATCACATCGACTATAATTGTAATAATTATTTTTTCAATAATAATTAATCAATATAATAAGTCTCTAAACTTTTCGTGGTAATATATGAATATTTGATTAAATTTTCGCTGATTATTCAATTAATTTCTTGGAAAATTCATCCCAGCGAAGTAATTAATCAGAAATTTCAACACTTGACGCTTCAATTATCTTCAAATAATTGAGAAGTGTTCTCGGCTATCATATTATTTTAATTGGAATTTATATCTAGCAGGGAAATTGAGAACATTAATTAGTTTTGTTTATCTAGCGAATTATACTTATCCCGCAGGCAATCATTGTGATTATTCGAGTTTCATTAATTCATGTGTACTTATATGGATCATCAATTTTTTTCTATCTCGGAAATAACGAAAGAATTACGCCCTGAGAAGTATTATTCTGATGAGAGGGCAAATGTTTGGAAGAAATGTCGTCTCTCTGAAGTTAAAGTGGCACTTATTTCTGGTCTTTTTCTTTCAGAAGTTAAAGTGCAATTTATGCTAAACGAATTTTCATTTATGTGATCTTTCCTACCGCTTGGTAAAAAAATCTCTGCGTGAATGAAAATAACTGGTGTCCCTTTGCAACTGACACCCAAATGAAGTTATTCTGCATGCACTCGAGGTGCGGTCGTGGGGTCTCATAAAGATACAGCCTGGGTTGAAGTGCGTTGTATATTACCCTAGTAAATACACCGTCGGGTCGGAATTTACACACGAAACACGCGATTTCATTAACGGCAACTATAACCGAAAAGACGAAAAAGGTGTGTTGGCTGGCATAAATAGGGACTCGTGATGACTCCCGATTGTCCAAGTCACCAGAGGAGATCGTAAAAAAAGAACTTTCGCTCCATTTGAATTCCCCTCAGGTTATTCTCCTCTCGCCGTAATTTACCCCTCCAAAAAAATGGGCAATTTTAATCAAAAATCACTCTTCACTTGATCTTTTCTTCCGATTCCAAAAAAGCACTCATTACAAGTAAACTATCACAATTAACTGGTTGTAATAAAATTGATTGATTTATTTAAAATAAAATAGCTATCTAACCCCAGGAATTATTTAATTTACTTATCAAATATTTATTGTCTTCACATGAAAAAGTCTGAAGAATTTGTTGGGCTGGATGAATCGTTTTTGTAGTGAGTGTCGAAAGAAAAGACATTATTAATTCAAGGATTGCGTTAATTACGGAATTAATTATTCGTCAGATTATGAGGACAGACTGTTAGTTATAATATAAAATCGTAAAATAGTCATTACTCTTCCGGATATCTTAAATAAAATTCAAATGTTCGAAAGAGAAATGACTATTTTTCTATTGTCGTTGAAAATATTTAACAAAAAAAAAACCAATTGAATTTTTTCGAATGGATAAAATGGGAATTCGTGGAAAGAGCCTCTCTGTACATGAAAGAATGGGAGTAATTGAGTTAGTACGATTGTTTGTATCAGAGGAGAACAAAGAAGTGAGTGGAAACAATACGACAATAATAAACGTATTCATTACGCAATTACTGTTACAAAAGTTTATTCAAACATGGAATTCGTTTGTCTGGTGCTGTGCACCTGCTCTTCCCTACAAAAAATATGGTGCTTTATAATTTTCTACATGCAATTGATACTGGTGCAATTACTTGAGATAAATTGTCTGTACGTCATGGAGTAATAAGTTGTGAACGGAGAGTAATATTCAATAAAATTTGCCCTGACGCTTTCTAATGGAGTTCTGGTAATTTTGATCAGCAATTGGAGTGAAAATTATGTAAGACTCAGTAAAAATCGCACGAGAAGGTACGTTACGTAAACTTTACTCCACTTTTTGGGAAAAATTTGTGAATCGCATTACAAATCGTCAGGCAAAATTTTATCCAATATTTCTCTGCGTGTAATAATGACAAAAAAAAATTCCGATAATTTTTGATTATCCTTGGTGAATTATCGCATAACGAAATTGTGGAATATCTTTCCTAGTAAAATGCACTGATGATAAACGACCCACAAACATTCAATCTATGAAATGCAAACTGACCTGGATTATCCTCGCTTGATCTATTCCATATCTAATCGAGTATGAGTTTTATTTTCACATGGTGTACCGAACTATATCGTCGCTCATCAATTGGGATGAAAAATAAAGCGCAAAGTGGGTTGGAGAGAGATTTCGCATAGTGATTGTTTATCGCGATGGATTTTCATCAGCTTTCAATCTGCTATGCATAAAATAGGACGAAGTCATTATCCACGGGAAATTCACCACCGGGTGTCATTATAATTTACACAACAAGGTTGTCGCGAAGACTCGTCACTGGGAAGAACCGACGTGATCGTCGCACAGAAAATAATTTTTCTTTCACGGCAATTATTCCTTATTTCAATCAATCGTCCCTATCTATTTTTTCCCCTTGAAACAATTGCTTTGCAATCACTTTGCGGAAAGTTTAGTCTAAAATCGAGTAAATACTTAGAAGATTCAATTAACGACTGTTTTTATTCAAGGAATTGTTTCTGTGGAGACATTTATTATTTGAATAATAGAACGTATTTTTTTTTGTAGTCCAATATTTTCATATATTTGTAAAATAGTTTTGCTACAGCTTCAAGAAACGTACGGAATT